TGGATAGATAGAAAGAATGGATGGATGAAAGAATCATGAATGAAAGTATTTATAGATAGATAGAAAGAATGGATGGATGAAAGGATGAATGAAAGTATTTATGGATAGATAGAAAGAACATATGGATGAAAGGATGAATAAAAGTATTTATGGAAAGATAGAAAGGATGAAGGGGTGAATGAAAGTATTTATGGAGAGATGGAAAGAATGGATGAATGAAAGGTTGAATGAAAGTATTTATGGAGAGATGGAAAGAATGGATGAATGAAAGGTTGAATGAAAGTATTTATGGAGAGATGGAAAGGATGAATGAAAGTATTTATTGATAGATAGAAATGATGAAAGGATGAATGGAACTATTTATGGATAGTTAAAGAGAATGGATGGATGAAAGGATGAATGAAAGTATTTATGGATAGATAGAAAGAATGAATGGATGAAAGTATGAAAGAATAAATGAAAGTATTATGGATTGATAGAAATGATGAAAGGATGAATGAAAGTATTTATGGATAGATAGAAAAGACGAATGAAAGTATTTATGGATAGATAGAAAGAATAGATGATCAAAGGATGAATGAAAGTATTTATGGATAGTTAGAAAGATGGTAGGGGTTCAACGACAAAAAAGCTGCTAAAAGCGACATAAAACCATACTCACTCTCAATTAAAATATGAAATGTTTGAATATGTGCACGGTACTCAATTATACGTATTAGCTCTTGGCTAATGTTTTTTGGTAATTGTAAAAATTAGTTTTGTAAGCACCATACTTAAGTATTTCAGAGTGTATTTAGGATACAGTTTTAGGAGACATTTTAACATTGTAAAGAGGACGGAATATTCAAATTTAAAAATTTAAAAATAGAAGAGCGTTCTATATATAATTAGTTTGTAATTTCTTATCTGATTCTTTTCATTGCTTATGAATTCATGGAAATGTCATGTGAAGTGAACCCACATTTGTGAGGGTTTCAAATGACTTGTAACCTGATATAAAAGCACTAATACAGAGGATGATATGATATTAACATGCAAGTAGATCATAATCTGTAAAACATAAGACAAAACATGTGAGCATACTTCTCCATTAGATAGCTTAATGTATAATCATTACTGGTAAATGTGTTTTCAAGCAATGTCAAATAACATTTTGTAATAATTATGCAAACTATACATTTTCAATTCCTACCTTGTTTCATCCATGTAGGCTGTGATAGTCTCCCGGTAAATTCTTTTATGTGTTGTGTAAATAGCTGTTGCACATGTGACTGACATGTTGAGTGGATATCCTTGTCTGTGCGAGCTGTGCGGAAGAATCTCATCAAGACTTCTTTTGTGATGTATTTTGAGTAGGTCATGTGCGAAGTCCCAAATTACACATTTTACAAATGTACCTGTCTGAATAGCGTCTGAAGGATTATGTAATTCAAACAAGGCCGGGTTAGATTTATTTGTCGTTTTACAAGTTTCCTGTCCAATAAAACCATGAAGAGAACATTTTCAGAAACAAAACAAAGGTATATGTGAACAAAAGTCTTATAATAATGTAACTTGTTGAGGGTTGCATTTTTCTTTTCTTTAAGATATGAAATTTATTGTTAAATTAAACTTCAACAAACAATCTAGAAATGAACTTATTTTACATCTGCTTCATTATTTTTTACTCTGTCAAGTTTTGGAGCAGGCTCATGTAGAAACACAAACAAACAAAGTTGTCTGGTCTAAGCAGGCTTTACAAAGGTTGTGTTTATATAACAGGTGGATCCTCAATTCACTGCACTGGTTTAAAAAAAGTTCTTTTGAGGTTGATTTTGTTTTTGGGTCAGTATGCTCCTCACCAGGTCCATGGCATACCAATCTACTGTGAAGACTTGTAAAAGTAGATGGCATACCAATCTACTGTGAAGACTTGTAAAAGTAGATGGCATACCAATCTACCGTGAAGACTTGTAAAAGCAGATGGCATACAAATCTACTGTGAAGACTTGTAAAAGTAGATGGCATACCAATCTACTGTGAAGACTTGTAAAAGCAGATGGCATACCAATCTACTGTGAATACTTATAAAAGTACATAGCATACAAATCTACTGTGAATACTTATAAAAGTAGATGGCATACCAATCTACTGTGAATACTTATAAAAGTAGATGGCATACCAATCTACTGTGAATACATATAAAAGTACATAGCATACAAATCTACTGTGAATACTTATAAAAGTAGATGGCATACAAATCTACTGTGAATACTTATAAGAGTACATGGCATACCAATCTACTGTGAATACTTATAAAAGTAGATGGCATACAAATCTACTGTGAATACTTGTAAAAGCAGATGGCATACCAATCTACTGTGAATACTTATAAAAGTAGATGGCATACCAATCTACTGTGAATACATATAAAAGTAGATGGCATACCTATCTACTGTGAATACTTATAAAAGTAGATCGCATACCAATCTACTGTGAATACTCATAAACTTACATGGCGTACAAATCTACTGGGAATACTAATTAAAGCAGATGGCATACCAATCTACTATGAATACTTATAAAAGTAGATTGCATACCAATCTACTGTGAATACTTATAAAAGTACATAGCATACCAATCTACTGTGAATACTTATAAAAGTAGATCGCATACAAATCTACTGTGAATACTTATAAAAGTAGATGGCATACCAATCTACTGTGAATACTTATAAAAGTAGATGGCATACAAATCTACTGTGAATACTTATAAAAGTACATGGCATACCAATCTACTGTGAATACTTATAAAAGTAGATGGCATACCAATCTACTGTGAATACTTATAAAAGTAGATCGCATACCAATCTACTGTGAATACTCATAAACTTACATGGCATACACATCTACTGGGAATACTAATTAAAGTAGATGGCATACAAATCTCCTGGGAATACTAATTAAAGTATATGGCATACCAATCTACTGAGAATACTAATAAAGGAGATGGCATACCAATCTACTGGGATCATAATTAAAGTAGATGGCATACCAGTCTACTGGGACTACTAATTAAAGTAGATGGCATACCAGTCTACTTGGAATACTAATTAAAGTAAATGGCATACCAATCTACTGGGAATACTAATTAAAGTAGATGGCATACCAATCTACTGGGAATACTAATTATAGTAGATGGCATACCAATCTACTGGGAATACTAATTAAAGTAAATGGCATACCAATCTACTGGGAATACTAATTAAAGTAAATGGCATACCAATCTACTGGGAATACTAATTAAAGTAAATGGCATACCAATCTACTGTGAATACTAATTAAAGTAAATGGCATACCAATCTACTGGGAATACTAATTAAAGTAAATGGCATACCAATCTAATTACTTGTTTTACATGTCTTAGCTGGGCACTTTCCCCACAATCCCCAGCCATCCCACCCCAAGTTATAAGTACTAAGCAATTTATCTCTCTACTGAGCTTGAGGTCTGTATACAACATTTAGTGATCTGATATTAAAACATGTCCTTTATGTATAAATGATATAAATGTACCTACTCCATTGGATAAAATGACCTTGTTCTTAGACATTTTATTGATATCATGAGTATCAAATTTGCACTTTTTGACTAATTTTCTTTTTCAAATCAGCTACTGGGGCTGAAAAGGAACACGTTTTTATAACACGTGTAGATAATTTCATTTTGAAGTCATTTTCTATTGAACATTAAATTCATACAAAACAGAAGAGAAAATCTAAAACCAAATTTTGATATTTGATAAGTTGAAATTGTGATATTAAGGATTAATATTAGCTGTTTGAGTTTAGAAACTTCACCAAGAATCTATTTTCACATAAAATGCAAACAAAGATAGATATTTTATAATTAAAATTCTTTATTAAAATCTACATATTTGATTTAGAAAATTTCATATAGAAAATATTTAAACCAAAAATTATAACCAAATTAGCAGTGAAGAAATTTAGGAAGAAAAGGTTATAGCAAAAATAAATACTGGATATTTTGATAAATTGTCCTCCCTCTGATGAGTTGAGTTGAGAATGTTTCCGCTAATTAGCCGGCATTGAGTTGAGGACTGAACCACATCCTGGGCCAGAGAGTCTGAAGCTCCGTCTTCCCCTGATCATATTGTCTGATAATTTCCCACCAGCGTCTCTTGTAGCATTGTACAAAACTCACGTCTGTTTGTTACGTATACGTGATCGGGGGCGCAACTGAGTTGCGTCAAGAGAGGGCCAGTGTTGGCACTCTAAGAGGCCAGAGTGTCTACCATTGATCACTTCCTGGCAGTAATTATGATGCCAGTTCTTATGACCTATCCGTTTCATGAGCGTGGTCATGTGCAGCTCAGGGACAGGAGTTGATTGCCATTGGTTTGAATGTTTGAGGAAAATATATAAAGGAACATATCGTAATCGACATAAAAAGCGCCCGGGGCACTATCAAAATTAGAAATAGGGGCCTCTTATTAGAACATATTTTTTTTGGTGAGAGAAAAAACAGAGTTGAAAGATTGTAAATTTCGTAGTTTATGCTGACAGTCTGAAATGATAAAAAAAGAAATATATGTGCGTATCATACACAACAGATGTATTTTTCAGAATTTAATTGCCCTTAATTAAGGGTGCATATAATGCATATAACACACGAGTGCTTATTATACACGAATAAATAAGTCTTGTGTACATTGATCAATCGGAAGGGGTGCTAATTAGGATTGTTCACTGGCCAGTATATTAGTAAATATCGCCATGGGCACTTACTAGAGCAGGGCACTTATTGCGTCGAATACTCTATGTGTGTTTAATTTTACTCAACTTTGAACAAGAGCATGTTTTGACGGGAAAGTAGGTTTTACGAAAGAACTTGCCCTGAAATGATTTTGCAAATATAAATTTAATAAAAGATATGAAATGATGGATTTGGTCAGGAGAATGTTATGTTACATGCATATCTTAACAACAATGATTATTTCAGATCATCATCGATGATGTGGAGATGGGCTCTGTGTACGAGTTCCCGTGTGGGCGATGGTTCGCATCCGACGAGGACGATGGACAGATATCACGAGACCTCCTCCTCAACGTGGGACCAATGGAAGCAGCCCCTGGTAGGTGTAAACATCGTGACAGTGTCAGACAAGCAACCTGTGACTTACTGAACGAACGTCCTCCAATAGTTCCATTGACACCATCCTCCGTTATCCAGGGTATTAAATCTCCATTCTATTAAATTAAATAGCCTGGACTCATTCACCACCATAGCTCCACTTCAGAAGTGAAGACACCATTCCAATCTGTCCTATCACTATAACTGAGCACTGAATTTGGCTCTGAGCTTGAAATCAACAACCAATCAAATTCCAACTTACGAATGTGAGTTTGGCAGTCAAAATCATGGCCTCGTATGAGTCAGTGCTCAAAATATTTGATGACATCAGGAGACAGGAAAACTTGTTTGCATGAATATAAAGACAGGAGGGAAGTCCTTTTGCTACAGTGTGTTCTCCATTGTTGAGAAGATGTTATGCAATAAGACATGTCGAGTAGTGTTGATATTGCAGTTTGTTGCGTTCATTAAAACAGGGAGGCACGGGTGGCCCAGTCGTCTAAGCTGCCGCAATTCGCTGTGGAGAGTTGCGTCCCTTGGGCACGCCAGAAACCTTCGATTGTGGGTTCGAATCCCAGTTCGCCCCGATTATGTTTCTAGGTTTGTCAGTACCATACCCGTGCTCGTGGGTTTCACCAAAGTGGTAAATGTCTGAGACCTGCATCATATCGTGCTTTCCTCCAACATTAATCTGACACGCCGCGATATAACTGGAATACTGTTAAAATCAGCGTTAAACCCAACTCACTCACTTACTCATTAAAACAGTGTCCTTTTTTATTTGGCAGCTACTTTTAGTGTTGTGTCATTCATTACTAGTTAACCCAACTCATAACAAAGATATGGTAGTGAATATGTCCATGGAAGCGAGCTAGAATGGAGATATAATTCACTGGATAATTGAGAATGCATCAACACTGAGAATGTAGTTTTTTCAATCAGTTTCAAAGAATAGTTTCATATCCATTTTAAATATTTAATTTATATTTTACGTTTCTCTTTATCAATCCTTTTCCTCTTAGCAAATCCAGATGATGAAAACATATTTGTGAAAGTTATTTTGTTGAAGTATTTGATTCCTAATTTCTTATGCATTGCCTGTTTCTTACATTTGTTTATAACACCAGATAGGTCAGATGTTTATATGCAATGTATACTTTGAATGAAATGAATTTTTCATATTTTAACAAATCATTTTGTGTAACACAATAGTGATTATTTTGAAAAATAATCTGATTAATAACTGCAGATGTTGAAAAAGTTCGACTGGTTATTAATGGATACAATATTATTAATAAAAATAAATAAATTTTATAACCCTTTGGGGAACCTTATTTATTTGTCATTATATGTGAACGTTTGACACAATCAGAGATAATCACCCTGACTTTCTGTGTACATGTGTGCCCTAACCGTTTTATTAATGACCATTAATTACTGCGTGTCTCTCTCTTTCCTGCTTTCAGATACAGGTAATTATCAACTGTCAATTATCAATTTTACATGTTACGATAAAAAATATATGAAATCGGTTCTCAGGCAGGTTTGAAAATTGATGTGGTGAGGTGGCCTTTGTTTGCCACAATTAAAATGTATGTAACAAAAATTTAGTATTTTGTTTTGGGCCATTCCAATTCTGCTTTTTCATGAGTTCTTTAAATTGAGTTTTTTTAGTTTGTTAAAAATTCAGAAATCTATGTAAAATTCATAGACTAGGAATCAAGGATATTAATTTCAAGTTTTAAAAAATCCCATTTATTATAGAGCTAATTTCTTTTTCCTTGACACAAACTTACAAAGTTGAGCATAAGGCCCAGTTGTCTGAGGTGCAGCTTTTCACTATTTAGAATTGCGTCCCTAAATCACTCCAGAAACGTACAGTCGTGGTTCGAATCCCGGTTCACCCTGATTATAACCGGTACCGTTCCCCTGGGTTTCACCAGACCTGCATCTCTTTGACACACCACAATAAAACTAACATACTGTTGAACCCAACTCACTTGCTACAAAGTATGTACCGTAATCGACATAATAAGCGCCCAGGGTGCTCTCAAAATTAGAAATAGGGGGCTCTTATTAGAATATTATTTTGGTGAAAAAAAATAAGTTGAAAGATAAATTTTGTGGTTTATGCTGACAGTCTGAAATGTTTATATACGAGAGATATATTTTTCCAGAATTTAATAGCCCATAATAAGGGTGCATATAACACATGAGTGCGTATTTTAAATCTTGTGCACATTGATCAATCGGAAGGGGTGCTAATTGGGATTGTTCACTGGCCAATATATACTACTCAAAAGAAGTTAAGGATCACCTGATTCTTTCATATTACAATAGTTAATCTCTCATGCCATGACAGATTAACATTACCAATATGAAAGAATCAGGTGATCCTTAACTTCTTTTGAGTAGTATATTGGCATATATCGCCACGGGCTCTTATTAGAGCGGAGCGCTCATTACGTCGAATATGGTAATTGTTAAACTGCTGCATTATAAGACAACTGGTCTTGCCTGAAACAGAAATAGAATGCTGTCAACAGTTTAAATGAATGAAACACTGCCTGGGAACCAGAATTAGTTTACTTGTATCAGCTGTAATGGGGGCGATCGGGTAGCCTAGTGGTTAAAGCGTTCGCTCGTCACGCCAAAGACCCGGGTTCGATGCCCGACATGGGTACAATGTGTGAAGCCCATTTCTGGTGTCCCCCGCCGTGATATTGCTGGAATATTGCTAAAAGCGGCGTAAAACCATACTCACTCACTCAGCTGTAATGCATGTCATATACTTGTAGCACTCATCCGATTCTCAACTTATGAATGAACTAATTTTCGTAACATGTTATTACATTACACATGTAAATGGCCCAGCCTGGTTATGTCAAGGTCGTCAACAATACTTGTGTGGAGTTTGTTTGTTTTTGTAGAAAATATACTGTGTGAAATGTTTTTTGCTTGCCTAGTTGTCTATTCACAGCTATGCGAGGTGTTTTGTCACAAACCCGCTTTGATAATAGCGTTGAAAAAATACACAAGTTATCTTAATAATATGAAACTTGATCTTTTTAGCAATATTTTAATTAATCTTGTAATATTTCACAGATGAGGATGAAATAAGTATATCACTTCTTAAACTTCTTCAATAATTCAGACAAATATGTAGGACAATATAAGGATTTGTTAGATTTCGGATCTTGGTATATTCAAAGTCTTGCAAAACTGTTTCTTGTGCATATTTGTCTGATTTGAGTAAAATATCGTCATTTAGACAAGCTCTATGCATGAGAGATGTTGTTTGTCAAATAAGCATGCTAGACGGGTAATGGAATTATCAATATTTACGCTAGATAGATAACTACATGCTTGGGTGTTTATGGATATCTAGTTGGGAACAGGAATGCTGCATGTGTATTTGTCGTAACCTAGGACACTGCCATTTCCATCAGTGCTCATGTTATTGACCATTGGATTTCCTGTTCAAGGTCAAATCACAAAGCAGGTCACTCTAGCTGTATTATTTCACATCAATGAATGTCACATGAATGTTTTGGGGCAGTGGGGTGGCCTCGTGGTTAAAGTGTTTGCTTGTCATAACAAAGACCTGGGTTCAAATCCCACGTCACCCACCTTGATATTGATGGAATATTGCTTAAAGTGGCATAAAATTAGACACACGCCCTTGATAGTTAATTCATTCTGTATTTAAATTGCATTTTATAACAAAATCAGTCATTTAAAACAAGTCATTTATATTAACTAATCCATGAAAGAATTAAGATATTCAAACGAAAGATTTTCCTTGCTTTTAAATTTGTTTTTTTTATCTTAATTCTAAGTAACAAAGTGTCATTCGACCACAGCAATGAACCAGAAATGAACAGTTTTAGAAGTTTTTGAGGATTTTATGTGTGATTCAACTTGTTTGGTTTTTGCTTCAAACAAGTGTGATGGTAGTTTCCAGCTAGACACATCTGAATATGGCATCATACCTTGATTTAAGTTGACACAGACATTAATGTTCTCTCAGCTACTATGAATGTGATTATTATATATTTTCCATAGTGTTCAGGATTCATTTAGAAGCTATAGGGTAGCCCAGTGGCTGACGTGTTGGCTTTTAACACCATAGACCAGGGTTTGATTTCCCTAATGGGTATGATCTTGGTGTCCCCCTTTGTCATATGGTTGGAATAATGCTGAAAGTGTCATTAACCTACTCACAGAATTCATAAACCTATGATCACAGGCAGACATCTTTTATCTTCCGTCTCTTTCTTGATGTCTCAATTCTTAACACTCACATTCCAATCTCATTAGTTCTCGCTGCCGCTAAACAAAGATCTGAGGACATCCCATTAAGGGTCATGTCTGAACGACCTTTCGCAAACTTTGACTGACCACTGAAATGACTAAGAAGTCGACATCAGCCAATTAGAAAGCAGCTTTCTCGAGCTTTACGGCACTCGTTTCAACCTGGTGATTTCCATTTCAGACTACGCTTGAAAAGTATGTTGACACTTTTATCAATTAAAATTTTGAAAACTGAATAAATGAACATTCCGGAATGTCTAATATATGGTTGAAATTGTATGGCAGTGCTTCCCACGTACAGTGCAACGCCTCCTCTGTTCAAATGTTTATCGCACGGAAGCTAGATATGGATGATAATTTTGACGAAATCAGTCGTCCGTACCATAACTGTCGTTCAGAATACCCTGTGTTAACGTGTTCGAGGTTGCATGATTAGGAAACACATCCCGACTGTCACTTTCATGATCTGGTAAGCGACACTTTGACTGGTTGGATGAAAGGTTGTTCTGATGTGACCCTTAATGGGATGTCCTCGGATCTTTGTTTAGCAACAGCGAGAACTCAGATGTGATTTTATTGAGATTGACTCACATTCTTAATGATAACAATACTCAAGTTGACACACTTACAGTAGACAAGATCGTTAGATTTCACCTGTTTTAAAATAGAGACTCACCTATGGAAACTGTCTCGGGCAGTGTTCTCTCAGCATGTTTAGGAAGCAGGTTTATTTCCCCATGTCGAGACAGAGAGGTTTCCTTGGTGTGCAGCTTCCAGATCACCCTGAATATGTGTCTTGGTTTTTGTAAACGTGTCAGATCCGAATCATGTTGGACTTTCTTTCCACATCAAGCTGACACACCATTATGTAACTGGAATACTGTTCAAAGCAACACGACTCACTCACTGCCATTGTCATAATGCTGAGCCTAACAGTAAATGTCACTCACGCTATCCATGCATGTTTTGGTCATGGGGTAGGGGCACTTAGAAGTTGGAAGATTATGTGCATAAAATGTTGTTTTTGTAATGCATGTTCCTTGGCAGATCAAGAGGGGTTGTTCTAGGGAGTCCGGACACCCCTCTTCTGAAATCCAAATGTTGTATTGGTGTAGGCAGTAATATTATCTGAGAGAGGATTTTCATATTTTGGAACACACACACACACACCACACCACACCACACCACACACCACACCACACCACACCACACCACACCACACCACACTAAACACACACACACACACACAGTTGTATGGAAATAGTTTGTTTTTCTTTAAAGTGAAAAAGTAACATCCATATGGTCATGTACTGTAAGTTATATGGAAAATAGTTTGTTTTTCTTTAAAGTGAAAAAAGTAATATTCATATGGTCATCTACTGTAAGTTTCATGGAAAATAGTTTGTTTTTCTTAAAAGTGAAAAAGTAACATCCATATGGTCATGTACTGTAAGTTGTATGGAAAATAGTTTGTTTTTCTTTAAAGTGAAAAAGTAACACTATGCCAAACATTTACATGCTGTTGTTTCATATAATATTGCACTTAATTTGTTTAGTATGATTATTTTGATTAAACAGAATTATATATCGTCATCACAATTATTTCCGCTTTGCAGATCGTTAAAGTCTATGATCGAGGGCTCAATACTTTTGAAAGTTGATGCCATTATTTTGTGTTTGTTAATTTAGTCAAAATTAGTCAAAGTCATGTTTGTTGTTAATAGAAAAAACATCAAGAAATATTGAAATATTATTTGGATTGTCATCAATTTGTACAACTTAATGTTTAGTATTCTGCAGACTATATATCAAGGGGGATGAAGCAGTAATGTGTTCTTTTACTATCAACATGTTATTAATTTAGTGTTTTCAGTTTGTAATTGAAAATTTTCACAACAGGAATCCCATACATCATCACCGTGACAACGGGTGACAAAGCCAATGCCGGAACGGATGCTCGTGTCTACATTGAGCTGTTTGGCGATAAGGGAAAGGAAACGAGTGGCAAGATTTGGCTCGATAACGGAAAGTTTGACAGAAACAAAACCGACATTTTCAACATTGGTGTAGCAAAGATGATGAGTCCTCTAGACCACATCATCATTGGCCATGACAACAGCGGCGCCGCACCTGGATGGTACCTGGACAGCGTGTCCGTGTACTGTGCTAGCGCCGGCATTGAGCAGTTCTTCCTCTGTGGCAAGTGGTTGGCCAGTGACGAACATGAAGAGGTCATCCAGAGGACGCTCTATGAGCAGGTGTCTCGCAGGAAGAAGAGGGAGAAGAGTAAGTCTTTAATATTTTCTTGAATATCTCCAGAAATAGTTGCCACAGAGATGAGTCCTAGGTTGCCATTGTTATGAGTAAGTCGGTCTGAGCGAGAGTAAGTCTTGAATATCATCTTGTTGATCTCGATATATAAGTGCCATGGTGGGTCTGTTGCCATGATGAACAGTCAGTGGGTCTAAGCAAGAGCAAGTCTTGAATATTGTTTTAATTATTTCTGGAAATTATTGCCATGATGGTCCTGTTGCCATGGTGATCAGTCCAAATTTGCCATTTTTGTCAGTGTATGGATATCGTCTTGATGATCTCAATAAAAACCGTTGCGGTGGTCCTGTTGCCATGGTGATCAGTCAGTGGGTTTATGCATGAGCAAGTCTTGAATATTTTCTTGTTTTCTCCGAAAATAGTTGCTATTGTAGTCTAAATGGTGATCCTGCTGCTGTGGTGATCAGTCCTAAGATGCCATTTGGTCTGCCATGGTGCCAAGTTGCCATGGTGATCGGTCAGTTAATCCTTACCTGTTCACTAGGTATCTTAAAGAAACTATATATATATATATCCCTTTATATAATTACCATTAAATACATTCTTTGTCCAAGCTGTAATGATGTTTAATGATATTCCAGAGATGACATGGTTTGTGTGGGTTCACACTTCGGACCTGCAGAACGCGGGGACGGATGCAAACGTTTACGTGACGATGTATGGAGAGAAAGGGAAGACGGATGACCACCTGCTGGAGAACAAGGGTGACACCTTCGAACAGGGCAAGATGGACCGCTTCAAACTGGACTTGACCGACATCGGCAAACCTTACAAGCTTCGAGTCTGGCACGACAACAAGGGAGCCTTCTCTGGATGGCATTTGAACAAGGTGGGGGAACTCTCCGTCTACAAGTGTGACATACAGTCCCACACCATAATCTCGAGATCCATTATCCCTTATGTACCGACATCTCGAACAAATTCTCCGTCCAATCAAATTACAACCATAAGAGACATTCTGTTACTGAGACGTCTTTTCTCAAACAAAGCTTTGGTTGCGAATGGGTTGTCAGTATTTATCATAATAGTGAGTGAGTGAGTGAGTGGGGTATGGTTTTATGCCGCTTTTAGCAATATTTCAGCAATATCACGGCGGGGGACACCAGAAATGGGCTTCACACAATGTACCCATGTCGGGAATTGAACCCGGGTCTTTGGCGTGATGAGCGAACGCTTTAACCACTAGGCTACCCGACCGACCCTTATCATAATAAAATAGAGATATACAGTCAAGTCTCGTTAATCCGACACTCGTTTATCCAACAATTGGGTTTATCCGACACAAATGATGGGAACCGATTTAATCAGTGCTATTTAGACCCGTTAATCCGACAGTCTCGCACTCCGACTCCGACACACCTAATTTGCAACGAAATGCTGAAATCACTCATTAATCAGTCTCGTTAATCCGACACATTTATCAGCGTACTCCGTGGTCATCTGCCCGCTACTACACAGACCTGTGTTTTGATGCAAGACGAGTCGGCGAGTAGCTGCATATTTCAACGGCTGCAGTGATAAACTTGCTTAACAATAAACCATTAATTTTTTAAATACACAAAACAGGATTAATCACATGCCTAGATTACCTCAATCTCATTAAAATCGTATACAAGTTCTCGCTACCGCTTTCGACATCCCATTACAGGTCACGTCAGAACGACCTTTCGCGAAAACTTTGACCGACCAATGAAATTACTGACAGGATGTCCAATTTTCGATCACGAACGTTGATACTACCTAATTTTGTTTATCCGACATACTCGTTAATCCAACATAATCATATGCAACCAACAATGTCGGAGTAACTGGACTTGACTGTAATGCTATGGGTTGGAGCAGGATCATGAAGGGTACAAGAGGTTTTATGCGTCCTGAGTTAGGTTTTATCCCACGAGTAGGAGGCGAGTGGTATAAAACCTACGAGGGACGCACAAATCCCTGTGTACCCCGAGTGATCCTGCTACAATGAATTTATTTTATCGACAAGTTGTAATATGATATAATGTGAAAGAGTTAACACAAATTTAAAATTGATAGAAAATAGCTGTCAAATTGAGCTGAAGTTAACTTGTGCTATGTCTCATGACTTCCATTGACTCAGGAAAAGCATGCAGCTTTTTGCTTTGAAGCAGGATATAAAGGATTTATTCTGCCTCTCAGAAATACACGTGGAGCCTGTATTGTTCATGGTGGGGTATAAGAGATTTATGCCCCCGCTGAGAAATTTATTCCCCTCCAAGGCAGGTTACACAGTATGTTATCAAGATCACATGGGCCAATCAGATCTTGTCATTCCGACATGGAGGTATGTTACACTGGCTTACCAACGATGCCAGTATGTTTGCCCAGTAAAGTTTATCTCACCTCTCACCCCTGCCCTCACACTGCAGTAAAAAAAAAAAAAAATTAAAATACGAACCCGTACTCCTATGAAATGGTGTTATTTGACAATTGTCTGTAAAATTCAAACTTTTTTTTACCTTGTTGACAGGTTGAGATGGAGAACATGACAACAAAGGACCGGTACATCTTCACGTGTGACAAGTGGATGGCCACGGATGAGGACCAGGGAGAGACCGTACGGGAGATGCCTGCCGAGGGCCCCCTCGTCAAGAAACCGATGTCCTGTAAGTCACACGTGCAGAGTTGTGTCCCTTGGTTGTGTCACTCGTCTTGGGTTCAGATCACAGATTGTCTCCCTGGTTGTGATCCTTGATTTGAAATAAACATTGTTTAAACCATCTTAAACACTATAATATAATCATATGTCTGAAAGTTTAGAAATTTTGTCAGAACTGACACAGATGTGTTTGTTTCAAAGGAGTGAATGTCGCCTATGACTTGAGTCACTTAGAGCTTTCCTCCACATTAAACTGACGTTGGAACCTTGTTGAACCAGACAGTCTAACAGATCAATGGTTCCAAGCAATAACTATATTTTTTATTCAATGATACTTCATTAGTCTGGACCCTGTTAATCCAGAAACCCTTTCTTCTGGACATTTCTGGTTGGCAATGTTTACATCTGTACCATACTTCGTTATTCCTGAATTTTGTTTCCTTTGATGATTTCACTGGGAACTCTACCATGTGGATAAGCAAGGTTTCACTGTATAGAGTTCGTAATAGTAAATGTCCAGAATGGGGGTTTTCCGTAATAATGAAGGTCTAGACTAATGAGGATTTTAGTAACTCAAGGTTATAATCGGGATAAACCCAAGTCACTTACTCAATAGAATAGTCCAAACCAGAATGCAACAGAAGCTCATACTATCAACCACTTGTTTAGCCTAGAATAAATTATTTACAGGCCATGACGTAAAAGGGGATTATTCTTGTCGTAAAAGGCGACTAACAGGATCGGGTGATCAGGCTCCCTGACCTGGTTGATGCATGTCATCTTATTCCAATTGCATGGATCGATGCTCATGATGTCAATCACTGGATTGTCTGGTCCAGACTCGATTATTTACAGACCGCCGTCATATAGCTGTAATATTGCTGAGTGTGGCAACTGCAGCATAAATCAACAAACAAACAATCATAAATGCCCACTGGTAGGACCAAGGTGGGGCAAACCAACAAGTGGGTGATAGCATGAGCAACATTCATTATTATTGTGATGATTCCCATCTCATCATTTTCTCCACAGTGGTGAGCTATTCAGTGGAGGTCCACACGGGTAAGCGACAATACGCTGGCACCGATGCCAACGTCTACGTCAACATCTTCGGCGACTTCGGTGACACCGGCAAACGGAATCTAAGGAAGTCTAAGAACAACATCAATAAGTTCGAGAAAGACAAGGTATGGTTTCCATAGCAACCCTCTATTACTTTGATTTATCCAGAACAGTTGAACTGTTTATTGTGGTTTGCTCTCTGAGATTCGTTTGTATTTTACTTGTATCCTCATTGAGGGTATTTTGTTTGTGATTGGTTCAGATTGATATTCTGGAATCTGTGGACAGTTGTCATGGTTATGAATATAAACGGAGTGTAATATTATATGGCTTAAATATCTTTCCTTAAATCTATGATGACACAAGTCACATTGCATAGTCAAGACAATTGCCATTCATGAATGGCTAGACATGCACTGTACCTTCCTGTCAATGAATGAGTACCAGATCCAGGGTGTTTATCAGAACAATGTGAAATAAATATACCCCTGAATTCAGAGGATGCACCTAATCTCTGCAGTTGATTTGTTTAAGTTGTGTGTTTATTTGAAGAGCTCTTGCTTGACCTTCATTTTAATCTGTATTAATTTGATATCTTTTTTAATCTACTGCTGAATTTCAGTTCCTTCTATATGACATGATATATTTTGTTATTACATATCTTTCATATCTATGGCAAATTTCTAAATATTCATGGTCTGTATCTGTCCAAATTGAAATTTTTACATATTTGAAAATCTTTATGAGCATGTTTGATTAAGGTAATGTCTTGAAAGCTGCATATTTCTCTCATATATCATACATATTAGGCTTCTTTTAAAAAATGTAATTCTGCTTAAACAATACAATTATTCAAAATTTAATTTTAAATCAAAGATTTTGTTTGATTGACTTTTGCTATATTTAAACTAGGGCAGGAATATTTATTAAACAAGAAAAGAAACAAAAAAACTTTTTATCTAAGAACAAAACGCTGCCTGCCCAAGATATTTTCAGAAAGTTAAATATATATATTTTGCCTGATAACAATTTGCTTTACATTTTACTGAAAGAAATGACCAGTCTCTTCCATCCCATTTCTTAGCTTTCAATCTTTCAATGTTTAGGATTATATATTTCTATAATTCCTATATGTATTTATGATAAACATGTTTCTTTCTATATCCATGTATTTCTGCACTCAATGTTCTTTTCTATCTAGTTTTCCCCTGGCCAGGTAAGAGTAATCTCCCCTCCCCACCTTCCGTCATGTGACATCAATGTTGTCATGGTAGCAGTGAATAGTGTCTGTTGAACTCTCATACAAGAAATAATTAGATTCAAAGGAACTTTTATAAACATGTAGACTTTTCTGATTGAAATTCTCAAAAGCAAACTATGAATGCTTTAGTATGAGGAAATATTGTATTTAGATTATATTATGTAACAGGATGTTAAAAGATTTTGGCCTCTATCACGCTATGTATGAATCAGAGTTTGTCATTACTTAACTGTCATTTATTGTTCATGTCTAGTGGTCAATGGCAATGCTATTGACAGAGCAGAGTTGCTGTCCCTTAAATTACCAGAGCAATTGAATCGACATGATTTCCTGCTGTCTGAATGTTGATGTCGCAGCTTCCAAATAGCATGTGTGTTCAACTGTACTTTGTCTAGTTAGACATACATGGGATCACTTGCACAAAGCAGTCTTAGCACAAGGCTTTTTACCATTCACAAAATTGTCGGTACTTTCAATACTCGTCTCAAGCTTACCTAGTCTGTCATACAGGCCCTGAAACAAATATGTCCAATACAGCCCTTGCAAGTCTATGATATTTGTCAAGTCTAGACAGCTGCAGTTTCAGAAAATGAAGACAATCATTTTATTATTTAGATAATTTGATACTGTTTTTTTTTGGTTTAAAATATGTGCATTTCAGAGACTTGAAGTGAGTCTAAGTCTTCTCCTGAAGTTATAGATACAAAATAATACATGGCTATGTTTAGACTGACATTTAGCCCCAGAAATAAAGTTATCTTATTTACAAATTGATATATATCTGCAAAATAAAGAAAATAAAATCCACATGGACCCCAGAACAATCCTTACTTCGGGCCTAGAGCTGAGGCAATACTTGCCAAATCATTCCAGACGAGTGGGAGACAGACTAGGCGATGTTAGGAGTGCTTATGGTTTTGCATTGCTTGCAGCAGTATTCCATCTATATCATGATGGGAGTCACCAGAAACAGGGTTCATATGAGGGGAATGTGATCAGTCAACATCGTAAGCACAAGGCAATCCCATATTCCCATATAGAAGGATGGTATGCTGTATGGCATGGGGATGATATATAAAATTAAATTAAAAACTATTTTCAGTTGGTATGATTAAATGTTAGTAAGCATTATTTGTTTAATTTCATCGTTATTTAGTTGGGTCTGTTCCCTTTTATCGTGATCTTTAATATGGCAGGAGGCAACTTTTGTGTATCGTATTATATCAGGAACTATGAAGGTACATATTGTATTGGGAAATAGTGTATCGTTACGGTCCTGACTAAGACTGTGATGACTTATAGTCCTTGCACGAAGAATACGGTGTGCAAGTGTCCCCAATCCGTTCTTTGACCAGTGAATGGTTGTCGGTGTTGTTAATGTTGATGTTGATGTTATGATGTTGATGTTGATGTTGTTGTTGTTGTGTTGTGTCCCTCAGGGTCTTGCATCCACAGTTATCCTCATCATGTCTTCATTCTATTGTGATCAGTACCCGGACCCAGTTGCCTCCATAGCTTCATTTTGGAAGTGACGTCACCCGTTACATCTCTCTTATCACTAACCTAGCTCGGGATATCTCTTGCTCATCAGCTTGAAGTCAACAAGAACCGACCCATTAAGATCAGGGTTAGAATAGGTCTTCAGCAACCCATGCTTGCCGTAAAAGGCGACTATGCTTGTCGTAGGAGGTGACTAACGGGATCGGGTGGTCAGACTCGCTGACATGGTTGATGCATGTCATCGTATCCCAATTGTGTGGATCAATGATCATGATATCAATCACTAGATTGTCTGGTCCACACTATTTATAGACTGCCGTCATATAGCTAGAATAATGCTGAGTGCAGCGTTAAACAACAAACAAACAAACAAATCAACAACAACTAACTTCTGAATGCAAGCGAAGCATACATTTACTTTCATTATGGCGGCATCGTAAATCTAGCTCTCTATTTAATCAAATCAGAAGACTGGTAATCAATTTCTAGCTCTTTGTATTTGTGGCGACAAACAAAAGTCAAGTACTGTGATGTCACTGCCTGTTTAAATCAGGAAAGAACAAAGTAATTTGATTGGATTTAATGTAATGTCAGTTGAATTTGACACAAAACTTGTGGCAATGGGGTCCAGGATGTATGGTTCAACAGAATGAAACTATGACGCATTGGTTAATGAAGGAAGTGTGTCCATAGTTCTGTGTTATAGATGTGTGTTTATTGGTATTTTATGTTGTTTTGTTTACCTGTTTATTCCACCTGTATAGGTTCCCAGTTCCCCTTTCCTGTGTCACGTTAGTAGGGATGGGTGAGAAACCGGCCACACCTCTCGCACTGAAAACCTTGTTAGCTGTTTGTCCTGCAGACCTTTGGATATATATCCAGTTACATCTGTGGTGATGATATGTCATATTGTAGAATGGTGTGATAATGATGATATCAATTCTGCTGGTACAATGATGGTCAATCATCTGATATGATTGAACAAGTCAGTGAAACCCCATCTTCCCTGAGGCAAGGGAGTTAACTGCTAATGTGATTTGATGCACTTCGCGAGGTAAGACCCGTTTTATAATGATATAGATCTTGATCATCAATCAGATTGTCTTGACTGGACTCTGTCATTTTGTTTGAAGCAAATGCAAGTGCCAGAGGTGGAATCTGATTGGTTAATAGGAATGACATTGAAGTGACATATATTGTAATAGCCACTGGTGGTGGTACGATCAAGCCCAGAAATTCCAGCCTTGTTCGGCAAGGGTCTTTTAGAGTCAGGTAACTCCCTTGCCTCAGGAAGATGGTGAAACCCACAAGCACGGGTACCCTGCTGACAAACCTAGCGACATAATCAGGGTGAATCTGGATTTGAACCCATGATCAATGGTTTCTTGAAGCCACAGGAACACAACATTGCACAGTGAATTGTGGCGTGATGGAGGACTGGGTCACCTGTGTCCTCTAATCTGTTTGAGTTGTCCAGGCTTCAACAGATATTGTTGCTGGAGATGGTTGGTGTGGTCCAGTGATTTCCAGCTGTTAAATTGCAGACTACGGCATTGAACACAAGTCACTTATAGTTTAGGCCAGGCATTTAATATTTTTCGGATTACGGACCCGCCGAATCTAATTTTTTAGAAAATGTAAAAAAATAATCAGATTTCCGTTATTATTTTTTCACCGATAGCCGTGTAGTCAGTTATTTTATTTGTTATCATCACCTTTAAATAAAAAAACATATGAATTTACCGTTGTAAACTAGTAAAGAGGTACATAATCAATCTTTGTTGATCTTGAAGCCGAACATGAATAGCTTCCCTTGACAATTGTCTGTGTTACTTCTTTGATAGGCATTTAGAAGTTGGATAACTAAGTAAGGAAAAGAATTTATGGATGAACAACTTCTTTATTGTCCCCCGCCGCGCGAAAGCGCGAAGCGGGGGATATAGTATTCACGACCGTCCGTACGTCCGTCCGTACGTCCCACCTGTTTGTTGTCGCGATATCTCAAGAACTAAACACTGGATTGTCTTCATATTTGGAACTATCGTGTATATACAGACTCCGCAGACACCAGTCGGTTTTGGTGACCTTGACCCCATTTTCAAGGTCACAGCAGGTAAATCTGCTTTTGGAGTTGGAAAAACGGTGTTGCCGCGATATCTCAAGAACTAATCGCAGGATTGTCTTCATATTTGGAACTATGGTGTATATACAGACTCCGCAGACACCAGTCGGTTTTGGTGACCTTGACCCCATTTTCAAGGTCACAGCAGGTAAATCTGCTTTTGGAGTTGGAAAAACGGTGTTGCCGCGATATCTCAAGAACTAATCGCAGGATTGTCTTCATGTTTGGAACTATGGTGTATATACAGACACCGCAGACACCAGTCGGTTTTGGTGACCTTGAGCCCATTTTCAAGGTCACAGCAGGCAAATCTGCTTTTGGAGTTTGAAAACAGAGTTGCCGCGATATCTCAAGAACTAAACACTGGATTGTTTTCATATTTGGAACTATTGTGTATATACAGACTCCGCAGACACCAGTCGGTTTTGGTGACCTTGAGCCCATTTTCAAGGTCACAGCAGGTAAATCTGCTTTTGGAGTTGGAAAACGGTGTTGCCGCGATATCTCAAGAACTAAACACTGGATTGTCATAATATTTGGAACTATGGTGTATATACAGACACCGCAGACACCAGTCGGTTTTGGTGACCTTGACTCTATTTTCAAGGTCACAGCAGGCAAATCTGCTTTTGGAGTTGGAAAACGGTGTTGTCGCGATATCTCAAGAACTAATTAATCGCTGGATTGTCTTCATATTTGGTATTTTGGTGTATATACAGGCGGGGGACATTTCGTCACTTCTGTGACAAATACTTGTTACAATTAAGAGCATGGTGGGCTCTTAATTGTAATAAAGAAGTTGTTCATTCATAAATTCTTATCCTTCCTTAATTGTCTGTGTTGTAAGTGGTAATTTTTTATTTTTTTTCAAGGGGCTTTATCGTCACAAATGGCGGTCTTTTGAGCGCAGAGTATGTTCATAAAGTATTCCAGAGGCATTCTGCATTGAATAAAAAAGAATCTGGCTTTTTTTTCTTTCTTTTTTCCCTCCTCCAACCCTTGACTTTGAGCTGAAAAATCCGTAATCCTAAAAATAAAAAAAGCCTAGCCTTACTTTGCTTCACAACAACTTCCTGCTTGTGAATGTTGGGGAGGAGGTCTCCAGCATCCCATTCTTGTCACTAGCAGATCCAGATGGAGGTGCTGGGGGTTGGTGTGCATCCTCCCTTTTTTCAGACACCTTACATGTTAACGACACCCTTCGCGAAGTCAGTTCGTGACAAGGGTATTTTGTGCACACCCACCCCTACCTTGGTCAAATTCCTGGATTCGCCTGTGTCATGGTGGATGACAACAGATCAGCTGATCAGACTCATCTTTGTTGATGATCTTGTCCTGATGCTCTGATGGCATCCGTCGCTGGTGTATCTGGGTTGGATTTAATATCTTTATTGACTGCTGTGATATAGCTGTGCCATTAAACAACATGCATTCCCTCACTACACAATCTCATTAAAATCAGATCATAGTTTTCGCTACCGCTAAACAAAGATCTGAGGACATCCCATTACGGGTCACGTCAGAACAACCTTTCGCGAATTTTGACCGACCAAAGAAATGACTGACAAGAAATCGACATTAGCCAATCAGAAGGCAGCTTTCTTGAGCTTTACGACACTAGTTTCAAACTGGCAACTACTCTTCGAAACATATTTTGGCATGTTCTCGATTAAAAATTTAAAAACTGATAAGAAGAACATTCTGGAATGACTTATAGGTGGCCTAGATTGTATGGATATAATCATAAAACCCGTAACTGTCGTTCGGACAAAATAAATATTTCGTGGTTGCATGATTAGAAAACACATTCAGACTGTCACTTTCATGATCTGGTAAGCAACGCTCTGATTGGTTGGATGAAAGGTCGTTCTGATGTGACCCGTAATGGGATGTCCTCAGATCTTTGTTTAGCGATAGCAAGAACTAAGATCTGATTTTAATGAGATTGCTTACTACATGAGCATATCAAACGCCTTCACTGCATTGGTTAAAGTGTGAGAGGATAAATTATTTTCAATATCTCAAACTGGAATTCATTGAAAATGTTTCCATGTTTTATTTTCATTGACATTGGTATCACGTACATTAGGCTGATTCAATCATTTATATTCATTTTGGGGTTCAAATTGTGTATGATTGAAAGAATTAAAACATACAATTTCCGCAGTTAAAAAATAACCGGAACAGGATATTCACCTTTTATTTTATTTTTGTCCGTTTCATCACATTTCTGTTGACACAAATCACGCTCATTTATGGCCAGCATCACAAAGTTTTCACACATCACACAAGTTGCTCAAAAGTGTTGCCGACAGCTATATTAGTGGTGATTATCAATAGTATTTTTACTACTATTGCAATAATGTTTAGTACATTCCCCAAACCCTAGATTAATCAGAATGAAAATGAAACATGAATTATGTTTATCAAGTAAAGACACATGGCAACTCAAAATCAAGTACCGTATTCGACGTAATAAGCGCCCAGGGCGCTCTCAAAATTAGAAACAGGGGGCTCTTAATAGAATATTATTTTGGTGGAAAAAAAACAGAGTTGAAAGATAAATTTCATGGTCATGCTGACAGCCTGAAATGTTTATGTACGACAGATATATTTTTCCAGAATTTTATTGCCCATAATTAAGGGTGCATATAGCACACGAGTGAGTATTATACGCGAATAAATTAGTCTTGGGCACATTGATCAATCGGAAGGGGTGCTAATTGGGATTGTTCACCAGACAATATATCAGCAAATGTCACTGCGGGTGCTTATTAGAGCAGGGCGCTTATTACGGGCCTCTCATAAATCCACATGCATCTTTCCAGTCTTGTTCATGGTGGGGTATAGGGGATTTATTATCCTGCTGATAAATGTATTTTCCTCAAAGGCGGGATACATTGTATTTTATCAAGATCACATGAACCAATCAGATCTCATCATTCTGACATGGGACCCTTGAAGATCCGGGGTAGAATAGGTCTTCAGCAAGCCAAGCTTGCCGTAAAAGGCAACTATGCTTGTCGTAAGAGGTGACTAACAGGATCGGGTGGTCAGGCGTCCTGACCTGGTTTGATGCATGTCATCGTATCCCAATTGCATGGATCGATGCTCATGATATCAATCACTGGATTGTCTGGTCCAGACACGATTTTTTACAGACTGCCATCATATAGCTGGAATATTGCTGAGTGCAGCGTAAACAATAAACAACAAATAAATAAACAAACAAACAAACATTCTGACATGGAGATATGATAAAGAGATAGATAGGCCCTGTTTGCTCATACCACAACACTACATTAAACTAATTGTGTTGCATGTTATAACAGCATGGTAGAAAAAGGATAGGACATGGGCATGACTTACACTGGTGTAGCTTAACAAATGCTTGTTTTGGGCACTATCTATTCAGTAATAATCCATGTCTATTGGGACCTTCAAGGTCAACATGGACTAATAATTTAGTGATAAATGCATGATACATCTGTTCTGAATGCAATACAGATTGTATTTTAATTTTGGTGTTGTAAAGTTTGATGTCTTCTTACATGTAAAATATCCATATCAAACAGTTGGTGAAATAAGATGAAATGTAGCACCCTTTAGCCATGTTGGTTTGTATAAACATACCTTTAATAAATAATTTATAATATGTTTTTTTAATTTAAGGTTGTCATGTTTTGGTTTAGAGTGTCCTTATTTACGAGGATCATTTGTATAGACTTGTACTACCGTATTCGACATAATAAGCGGCCAGGGCGCTCTCAAAGTTAGAAACAGGGGGCTCTTAATAGAATATTATTTTGGTGGAAAAAAAACAGAGTTGAAAGATCGTAAATTTCGTGGTTTATGCTAACAGCCTGAAATGTTTATATACGACAGATATATTTTTTCCAGAATTTAATTTCCCATAACTATGAATGCATATAACATGCGTATTATACACGAATAAATAAGTCCTGTGTACATTGATCAATCGGAAGGGGTGCTAATTGGGATTGTACGCTAGCCAATATATTAGAAAATATCGTAGTGGGCGCTTATTAGAGCGGGGCGCTTATTACGTCGAATACGGTATTTGGAGTTTTTCCAGTATTTCTGAGTTGTGTTTCACATATTGGCTTGTCTGTTTTAGGTTGACACATTTGAAATCGAGGCTGTGACCTTGAAGAAGTTGAACAAGATCCGTGTGGGGCATGATGGGAAGGGCCCAGGAAGTGGCTGGTTTCTCGACAAGATTGTTGTCAAACAGATCGGCTCAACAAAATATGACACCACTTTTGAGTGCAATAGGTAAACACTGGATTTCAAGAATTGATCAAACATGTCCTCTATTCTTAACTTCGGGCACAATAAACTGACTTGTTGTATTGGTTTTTTTTAATTGCTTTCACCTATATTTCCTGAAATCAAAATAACTACATATATGATGTAAGGTAATTATAATTATAGATAATTTGTCAATTACTGCCATTTGTTGTCATGGATACAATGGAGATACCGTGAAATAAAAATTACTTTTCGAACGTTTTGTAAATCGGTTTTCAATGGAAATTTGTGTGTAGATTTTAGGTTAAATGATACAAATAAAAGGGAAACTTGTTATATTTTGTTTGACCCAGTATGAGAGATTAATTACTGTGTGCTGAAGCTAAGTAAAAGTGAAAAGTATGTGAACATTGAAAATCAGCACTATATCTTTAATATCATTGCTATTCCATCAGTTGTAAGGATACTTCTATTAAAAGGCATGAAGAAATATAATTTCTTTTCGATAATTTATATTTTCACAAAAAAAAGATGTGTTAAGAGATGTAATATGGAAGGTATTGATGAAAATGTATTGATGTATAAGAATTTATATTTTCACAAAAAAAGATGTGTTATGAGATGTAATATGGAAGGTATATGAAGATAGTTTAGAAATCCTTTGACTGTGATTACCTCCCTTGTTTCAGGTGGTTGGCGGAGGATGAGGATGATGGTCACATTGAGCGGGACATCACAGCCAGTGGCTCACAGATGCTTGGCAGTAAGTACGCACTCACCGGTAGAGTTATCTCCCCTTCCAATTACTCCTTAACAGTTAGAGTGGTCCCCCCTTGCTATATTGCCAACGAGCTCCTTCCCAGCGCGTGCCACCTTCGTCACACTCTCAGAAACATTGTTGCCACCAGTGTGGAAGTGGCCATTACAAGAATCTTTAAATTTGCTCTCTAACCCCAAATGTAGTCAAGTATATATATTGTTTATGTCTTTGGGAATGCCATCATAGTGAACTTTGAAAAGGTTTATGACTGACCAGATTTCCCAGATGAATTTACCTTTTTGTTTGTTAAATGAGATTGGTTACAGACTCACTGAAAATCACCCAACTACCCCCTTACATTCTTACTATACCAATAACATGATAGTTGAAATGAAATAGAAATTCAAACTGACAAACAAAGAAAATAATTTTGCTGGGGTAAGAGTATTCGGCGTCATGGCAGTCTTTGGCGTGATGAGCGAACACTTTAACCATAAGGCTACCCCACCGCCCCTTTCATTGATTAACTATCTTGGGTATTTTGCATACTGCATTTAGTATTCACAGAGACCATATAATAGATTATATGGTCTCTGGTATTCACCATAGTAAACCTATATATAAAACAACTTTTATAAATATTTATTCAAATCATCCCAACTGGGTCTTTGGGCAAGACAAGTATGTTTATTTGTCTCATGGACAGCCCTGTCCTTTTTGTTGCATATTGTTTTAGAAATTCTGTGATTTTTAAACTATGCTTTTTTACTTTTTATTTAGTATTTTTGTCAAAACTTGGCATATGGAAACACAATATCTTTAAAGCACGAAATTAACTGGGCTAGTTAATGAAATGTTTCTTTGTAGATATAGAATTAGATTCTGACATCTTGTGTATGCCTGAGACAAGTTTGTATAAGTATTTTTCGTATCTCCACAGCAACAAGGTATGTGATAGATGTGAAAACAGGCGACGTACGAGGCGCTGGCACTGATGCCAATGTCTTTCTGAAGATATTCGGCAGCAAAGGCGACACAGGCGACATGCAGCTGAAGTCATCCGAGTCAGCCACCAACAAGTTTGAGCGGAACAGAACAGACAAGTTCATTAAAGATGCTTCCGACATTGGAAAGGTATAAACAATAATAATAATAATAATACCCCAATAAAAATATATTATTAAATTTCATCGAAATATGGATAAGGAAGCATTTGATATTATATGTTATAGGTTTAGTTTTCTTTGTACCTCAAATTCAACAGATGTGATTCACTGAAAGCATGAATGTTTGGTAGGACCCATCCTTCTGAGGCATGGGCGTTATCTGCTATAAAAGTCCAGTTTCCACCCTTGCCCAATTAGGCTGGTATTCCGGAATTACATTTTGGCTGGACTACCAAGCCTATGCATAGTCCGGTCAAAATCACGTAACAAACTACATGGATTTCAACCTGCAGATTTTGGTCGACTGCAGGATTTGCAAAGCATTTGTGCTGCCAATTGGGCGTTGACATATGTTTTTAATCAAGGTGCTCAAGTGATTGATGCACTTTGCGTCATGAGACCTGTATTATTACAATAAAGATCTTGATTATCGATCAGACCGGGTGACGCCATTTTGTTTGTAGCAAATGCAAGTCATATGAGTGATGGAATCTGATTGGTCAAGAGGAGGGACATAGAAGGGACATAGAAGGGACATAACTCATAATAGCCACTGGTGGCGCTACAATCAAGCCTGGAAATTCCAGCCTAGGTCGGCAAGGTTGCAAACTGGACTTTTGTAGTTAACGCCCTTGCCTCAGGAAGATGGGTAGGGCTGTGTATATGGTGTAGATCCAGTAAAGAAGGGAGGGGAACACATGCATGATTTTCTTCACTTGTAAAATAAAAATGATATAAGTTTTGGTAGTGAAGCAGGTGAAGATATACCTATATTTTATGGCCTTATAAAATGTGATTGTTGTTTACAAAAAATTGAGGAGATATTTTTAGAAATTGTGAAGAAAGGGTAGTTTAATGATCAGGAACAGGCTACTAAATGTAGTTACTGAAAAATATACCTTCCCTAAAACTGAGGTCTAAATAGTTTTCTTCTAATTAATTTTTCTAAGATCAAGAGTGTCCGAATCGGCCATGACGGAACGAAGCCTGGTGCTGGTTGGTTCCTGGACAACGTCTCCATCGACATCCCCTCCCGCGGCGAGCACTACTACTTTGCCGCTCACCGCTGGCTGGCAAAGGATGAGGAGGATGGTCAGCTGGAGATAGATATGGACCCCTCATCCACGGAGCAGAGGGAGAAGAGTAAGTCATAATGGGGTCGAACACATCCTCACAAGTCATTTTGCTGTGTTCAAGTTGGGGGCACTGGTGGCTCAGGCATCTAAGGCGCCACGATTCGCTGTGCAGAGTTGCATCCCTTGGGCACCCCAGAAACCTATGATTGTGAGTTCGAATCCTGGTTCACCCTGATTATGTTTCTAGGTTTGTCAGCACCATACCTGTGCTCGTGGGTTTCACTGAAGTGGTAAACGTCTGAGACCTGCATCGCTACGGGCTTTCCTCCCACATTAAGCTGACACGCCGTGATATAACTGGGATACTGTTAAAAGCACAAAACATAATGCTAAATCTGATTGCATGATGCTATTAGAATGATCTTAAATAATGATATCATGCAAACTGGTTGATATGTGGAGAAGATTCAGTCGTACCTAGCCATAGATTTGTGATGAGCAAAACCTAAGGTTGATAACAAATAACTGCAAAGAATATTTCCAAAAACCTTATCAGATTGAAATTGAAATTGTGATGTAATGTAAACAAGGACCATGTTATGATGTAAACAGTTCCAAGGCCTGGCGGGGCGGTCAGGTAGCCTAGTGGTTAAAGCGTTCGCTCGTCACGCCGAAGACCCCGGTTCGATTCCCGACATGGGTACAATGTGATAAGCCCATTTCTGGTGACCCCCGCCGTGATATTACTGGAATATTGCTAAAAGGGGCGTAAAACCATACTCACTCACTCACTCACTCACTCACTCACTCACTCACTCACTCACTCACTCACTCACTCACTCACTCACTCACTCACTCACTCACTCACTCACTCACTCACTCACTCACTCACTCACTCACTCACTCACTCACTCCAAGGCCTGGCCACCCAATCCAATTTAGTTCTTACAACAAGCAATAGAGGACTGGGGACCTAATCTAACCTACATCACCAAAGGGAGGTCATGATGGATCAAAATAGGGTCTAATTTAGGGGTTAGATTCAGTTGTTCATCTCCTTGTTCTTCAGCAATCCCTTATGAGGTAACCATCTGGACCAGCAACAAGCGAGGGGCAGGGACGGACGCCAATGTCTTCCTCCAGATGTACGGGGAGAAGGGTAAGAAGACAGAAGACATCCAGCTCCGTAACAAGACGGACAACTTCGAACAGGCGGAGATGGACAAGTTCAAAGTGGAGGCCGCAGACATTGGCCGACTCCAGAAGGTTCGAATTGGACATGATGGTGCTGGTCGATTTGCAGGATGGCACATGGAGAAGGTCAGTGTTAGAGCTTGAGTCCTGGTTCACCCTGATTAAGGTTCTAGGTTTGTCAGCACCATACCTGTGATCGTGGGTTTCCCCAAAGTGGTAAACGTCTTAGATCTGGGCCCACTTGGACAAAGCCATCTTAGGGCTAAGACTATCATAAGCCTATGTTAAAGTATGGGAGTTACGATCATCTTAGCGCTAAGGTCGCTTTGTGCAAGAGGGCCCTGCATCACTTTGGGCTTTCCACAGAAATGAAGCTGATAAATACTGTTAAAAGGGGCATTAAACCAAACTTACTCACTCAAATTGAAATTTTGATGCAATCTCTCCTTCCTCTAGATGCTGATTCAAAGGAAACCACTGTCTGGGACAAAGAAAAGACGAAGGCCGTCTGATCTAGAGCGGCGCAGGTCCGCCAGAGATGAGGAGGAGTCTGACTCCACCGGCTACAGCCCACCGTCCACGCCGAAACGCCGCAAGAAGAAGGCGCACAGGTCGAGTCTGGAGCGAGTAGATGAGGCAGATGAAGACGTGTATGACGGTGATGAGACAGAAGATTACTGGTTCTTCGTAGATCGGTGGTTTGCCAAGGGGGAGGACGACAACCAGATTGTGAGGGAGCTGATACCCACGGATGAGAGGGGGAACAGGCTGAAGGGGACACTGAAAGGTTCGTGATTCTGATGGAGGCTTGCCTTGAATGTACCGGTACATTAGAATATGGTCATAATGAACTCCACTGTTGAAATGTGTTTGTTATATCCATAGTTCATTACTTGCTGAACCTTGTCCACCAGTTAGGATTCCCATGCATATACACTGCTGAAAAAAGGTTAAGGACCAACCAATTCATTTAAAATCTATAGTTAAACTGTCATGACAGGTGAATAAGTTTTAGAGAAACATGAAACCTAGCAGGTGTAGGCCTATATAAAAGCACCTCACATTTCAGGAATTGCAAACAATTTTCCAAAAAGCGCAATGAGGGAGGAGAGATCTCCATAAGTACCGGGATGAACCTCACGATGCACGTCCCGATTAATTCAGTGATCTAAGAGATAAGTGATAAAGAACATTCTTTTGTTTGACAGAGCTGGAGTACACAGTGAAGATCTTTACGGGTGACGTGTTTGGTGCTGGCACTGATGCCAACGTCTTTGTCAACCTCTATGGCGAGAACGGGGACTCGGGGGAAAGACACATGAAAGAATCAAGCAAAATGAACAAGTTTGAGAAAAATCAGGTAACAATATGTTAATATGGTTACATTTAACTGTTTATTTAACTTTTTTGTGTATGTCTATGTTGAGAAGGGATAAAAAAATCAGTATAAACTACATTCAACATCAACATATATTTATTTTCCTTGCGGCGAGAAATGATTGCCATCATTAGAGGTCTTACTTCGTTGTTACCAGCCTTGTTATATCAGCACTTGTTGGCTGTTGTCAGAGAATGGATTTGGTTTGGTTTGTTATAAGGTGTTCTTATAATGGATTTTTGGGCATTTTCAGGAGGATGTGTTCAAAGTGAAGGCCATTGACCTTGGTAAGCTGACAAAGTTGAAGATTCACCATGACAACAAGGGGGGCGGGGCTGCCTGGTTCTTGGACAGAGTAGAGGTGGAGGAGCCAATCAGCAGAAAGAGGTGGGAATACAGAGTTATATCCCTTGTGATTTTGAATACCAATCTAAAATATGTCTTACGATGTTACGAATTTGAAAATCTGAAATGCTGCTTTAGAAAAATCTGGATCTGGCTCTATTCTGTCACATTTAGTTATACTAAGATTTTGTCGCAATTTTGAAAAGGAGCTCAGTTTGAACTTGACGTATCAAACAGCCTTGAAATCAACAATCTGAATGCGAATGTCCAGTTATATTTTCAGTACCTCTGATTCTGTTGCAGCTATTTCTTCCCCTGTCAGCGATGGCTGGCGACCAATCAGGATGATGGACAGATAGCACGTGACCTGGTCCCTGTTGACCAATCACTGCGGAGGAAACTTTCCCGCAAGGACTCAACAGCAATCAGAGATGAAATTGCACTAGAAACTAAAGGTGATTTCATATGAACAATTTGTCACCCACATGAGTTCAATGTAATAGAAAGTAAAGCAGGCAGGATTTTACAAGTTTGTTAGAAGCATAAGTGAATTATATCCATTTTGACCATGTTGTACTCTCGGTATATGTGAGAAACCTATTCATAGTAATAATAATAATTCATAGTATTCATTGTAATTTGGCTGGAATAATACTAATGAAGAAGTTTCAAGTTGAAATATTGTGTACGCTCATGGGCAAGAAGATGCCTTGAAACATTATTCAAAATAGTACCGATGTTGTCAATAAAGTTTCATTTTTATGCAAAAGTAAGCCATGTATTATTTGTTTACTTCAGCTGCCATGACGACATACCATGTGAAGGTGACGACTGGCAATGTATGGGGAGCGGGGACAGATGCCAATGTTTATGTCATCCTGTTCGGGGAGGAAGATATCACAGGTATAAAGTATTTATGATTAGATCTTAGATGTTTTCGTAACAGGTTCATCATATTTACCACTCAGAATCTTCGATTCAAAGTGTTTTGGAAATCTAAAAGAAATGTGAAGTAAAATCTCATTCAGTTTACGTACCAAAATATTTTATCCATATCTTCATCTTTCACTGATGAAACAATTCATTTGTACCCCTACGTTAGGCCTAGTTGTTAAATTGTTAGCTCTACCCGTGAAGATCCGGGGAAGAATAGGTCTTCAGCAACCCATGCTTGCCGTAATTGGCGACTATACTTGTCATAAGAGGCGACTAATGGGATCGGGGGTGGTCACGCCCGCTGACTTGGTTGATGCATGTCATCTGACTTTTTCTATTACTTGGTTTTCATATTTTTGGAGAAATATGCTTTTTTTAATAGACTGTGGAAAAATAATTTAAACTACATTTCAGATTTTGATTCCGTTTGTCGAAAATGTGATCTTAATATATGACCTTAATTATATGCTTTTTTGTCAGCCCAGTCCCTTCAGTAATGTATTGTCTTGCACAGCTTTGTTTTGACTCATAACTTTGCATTTGCAAGAATGATAAAAAACATTCTTTTCAGAATTAATGTCTCTGTTCTTTACTATTTGAAGGGTCAACAGGTATGTAAACTGAGTAAAAAGGGACTGCTTTGCTGACAAAGATTTAAAAAGTAAATTTGTTGCTTTCACCAAAAATGTTATTTTGACCGTTTTCCACTTGCAGGCAAGATGTTCCTGAAATCATCTCTCACCAGCAAGAACAAGTTTGAGAAGGGCAAGATGGATGAGTTTATCCTGGAGTGTGTAAAGATAGGAGAGCTAAAGAAAATCAAGTAAGCAATTCCTCGACCTTCAACTTTTTGCATTAATGTACATGTGTACTTAACAAAATAATTCACCCAGGGATGATTCCACAATTCCTCATTGCTCGTGAAGATTCCGGGGTAGAAGCGGTCTTTAGCAACCAATACTTGCCATAAAAGGCGACTATGCTTGTCCTAAAAGGCGACTAACGGGATAGGGTGGTCAGGCTCGCTGACTTGGTTGATACATGTCATCGATCCCAAATGCGTGGATCGATGCTCATGATATTAATCACTGGATTGTCTGGTCCAGTCTCGATTATTTACAGACCGCCATCATATAGCTGGAATATTGCTGAGTGCGGCGTTAAACAACCAACCAACCAACCAACCTCATTGTCTTAAGTATTTGTCAAGTGTCAAAATGTCATAACATGGAATATATTGCTCACTTCAGAATCTCCTGTCGTGATTTGGGGACATTGCTCAAGATTGTCGGTGATAGTCTAGTGGTTAAAGTGTTTGGTTGTCAAGCAGGAGTTCTGGGTTCAACTCCCTACATGGGTACAATGTTAAGACTATTATTGTCCCTGCTGTGATGTGGCTGTGATGATGCTAAAAGCATGTTATGATGCCAGGAATCTTATGATGTTATCAGATGTCTTGCTTCTTCTCAGAATTGGGCATGACAATGCTGGTGGCGGAGCAGCATGGCATCTGGACAACGTCGTCATCGACTGCCCCTCCCTGGGCCGCATGTGGACATTCCCCTGCAATCGCTGGCTAGGAGAGAAGGAGGACGATGGTGCCATCGAGCGAGAGCTGTTTCCCCAAGAGCTCGCTACACAAGAATATGTGCCATGTGAGTCATGATGATGCCCTCTGTCCGGAGAGAAGAAATTAAAAACAACTTTTACTATTCAAAATATCCCATTCTGAGGATATCTGGTTTTCAGATCCAGATGTTTTCAGATCAGTTGTGGCCAAAATGGCTGAATAAAGATTAAACTGTTTCACTAAGCTTATTATCAAAGTGCTTGACATTATTTGTTTAACGATGTGGCCCAAATAAAAGGATTCCATTTGACATCTAAGATTTAATCAGAGTCAATTGATGAAGAAACATTTTTCTAGCATTTTAGTGATATATGTGTCAATTGCTTTACCAATATTCCATATGCTGATTGAAAGACTTAAGGAAACACCGAAAGAAATCATGTAAACATGTGCTTACAAAGTTTGTCTCACAGTCTCTGAACCATTTTATGTTCCTTCCACCCAGCCCTTACTGTAATGCTATAGCCCCGAATGAATCAAGTCTAGATTTTCTACAGGTTCAGGAATCTCACAGGGGCTCCTTTCACTTTAAATGTATTCGTTGTCTCTGTGAAAATGATGTATTTTCAGAGACTAAGGGTCAGTCAAGCGTTTACATAGCATACCAATAAATGTAATGAAGGGAGACAGACATTTTTTGTTAAACCATGTAAAATTAAAAAAATATAAAAATGTTTTCAGGATCAGAACTCCTCTTTCTCTGTTGTAGGCATTCCCTATGAGATCACAACATACACGAGCGATCGCTCCGGGGCAGGGACGGATGCAGATGTGTTCGTTGTCCTGTACGGCAAGGAGACATGCACGCTGCAGAAGCCATTGTGTAACACTAAGCGGGAGAGGAAGGAGAAATTCAACAAGGGGTCGGCTGACAAGTTTGTCATCGAGGTAATCTAGCTATTTGTCTGTTACAAAGGGACCATTACATTTTCTGGGGGGGGTTGTCAGTTACAAAATGACCCATTCATTTTCTGGGGGGCCTGAGTATTTTGGTTGGGACATTTTTTATCTTTTCCCAAAACATGTTATTTTTACAGAGCCTTCATGCCCGGTGAACTCTTTGTTTTCTTTTGTCACAACTGAGGACATTTTTTCCCCGATCATTTTCATGAACATATTATTATATCCCCGTGTTATGGGTTTTCGGGCCTAGTGGTTAAAGCGTTCGCTCGTCACACTGAAGACCCGGGTTCGATTCCCGACATGGGTACAATGTGTGAAGCCCATTTCTGGTGTCCCCTGCCGTGATATTGCTGGAATATTGCTAAAAGCGGCGTAAAACCATACTCACTCACTCACTATGGGTTTTCGGACGAGTAAGAAACATTCGTAGCTTTTTCTGTAATCACAAGAACAACTGAAAAACATCTCACTCAGTTATAAAAGACGACTTTATCTTAAAAACCTGCCATCGTCTGTGTATTTTCAGTGTTTATGTGATGCCAGACCTCTTGCTATAACGCGAGTAATCACGAGAAACATGACTGTCTGAAAACATGATCCAACAATAAAAATAATCCAAGTCCCCTCCAGAATATCAAAGGGGTTGTCAGTTACTAGTACAATGTACTGACCTTGCCTGACTTCCTTCTCATTGACCTGCTTGACTGTCATGTGTCCGCCCTGTGTTGACAGTTGGAAGACGTGGGGCAGACCATTGACAAGATCCGTATCGGCCATGACGGTTCTGGGTTTGGTGCTGCCTGGCATTTGAACAAGGTGGAGGTCCGCAAACTGCACACCACAGGAAAGGTGAGGGTCCACTCTATTATTGTGACTTTGATATGAGGATTAGTTGGCAACAATGGCTGCCTTGTGTAGTCTGCATTTGTTTAAATGCTGCAGTAAAATCACAAAAAACTGCACACTTTAACATTATCAGATTGGATACTGAAGTTATAGGACAAAGCTAAATGCGATAAGTATCAGTGGTTAGACTGTCTTATATCCAAATAATTAAACTATTTTTGAATATGTTCCAATACAGATTAAAGCATATCATTAATGTTTGATATTAATATCACGTAATGTATCAGTGTATGGGTTCAACCTTGGTAAACAATTTGTTTATTATAAACATCAACTGTGAAATTAAGTTGCATTGCCTTGTTTATTTCTGCTGCTTATCCCTGGATTCCAGAACAAGCCTCAGGTATTTAATTACAATCCCTCGAACATAATATTATTTACACCTGGTGGAAATACCACATTTTATCACATTTTCTCTCACTAAACTGAGCTATCAATAAATTATACATATCTGTACTTTATCACAGTGTCGTTTGACACAAGAGTGATATCTTTTTAGGAATATTCTTTAACAATTTAACTTCAGTAAGTCATTGCAGTTTGTTATGCAGAGTTGTGTCCCTTGGCTCTGCAAGGATACTCTGGTTGTGGGTTCTGATCCTTGTTTGACCTGGATTATAATGCTTGGTGGTATCACACTAGATCATGGTGGTGGGTTTAACAACAATGGTAAACTGAGACTGGAAAATGATAGAATGTTTACTGTTGCATAAATGTTAAAAAATATGCAGAAGTTATATTCTTCACTATTAACTCAGCAATACAGCATATTATGTCTGCTTTGATTTGAAAAGTAAAAGTTTGATATTCATAGGTAGAAATACTGGAACAAAACAGGGTCACTGCCTGTCAGTAAGGTCAGAGGTCAGAGGTGAGGTAGCTTTGTGGTTCAAGTGTTTGCTTGTCACACCAAAGGCCTGGGTACGAATCCCCACAAGGGTACAGACCTGTGAAGATCCGGGGTAGAATAGGTCTTCAGCAACCCTTGCCTGCTGTAAAAGGCGACTATGCTTGTCGTAAATGGTTGACTGCACCCAGGCCTTGACATAGAGGCGCCTCTCCAACTAACCCTACCCTGACCAAGTGGTTGCTAAGTGACTGCACCTAGGCCTTGACATAGAGGTCTTGGTTGATGCATGTCATCAATCCCAATTACGTGGATCGATGCTCATGATATTAATCACTGGATTGTCTGGTCCAGACTCGATTATTTACAGACCGCTGTCATATAGCTGGAATATTGCTGAGTTCGACTTTAAACAACAAACCAACCAACCACATAGGTACAATGTGAAGCTGGAATATTGCTAAAAACGGCATAAAACCCAACCTACTCACTGAAATGAACCAGTTGTTTATATCTTCATTCAAATTTGCTGAATGTGCAGAACAGTTAAGAAAACATAAATTCAATTCTGTTAGGTCCACAGAATAACTTTCTGTTTTGTCAATTGCAAAAATAGATCATGGATTGAGAAGATTGGTAGAAACTGTTTTGAGTGGAGGTATTCATGTATAATTCCAGGGGTCCATCACGTATGAGTTTCCGTGTGATCGGTGGTTGGCTCGTAATGAGGACGACGGCGCCATTGTGCGAGAACTGTTGCCGAAGAAGGCCACGAAGGAGGTCATAGGGAGGGATGGTGAAGTCAAGGTGGTCGACCATAAACTACGTGACAAACTTCAAGGTATGTTGTTTAATGCCGGACTCGGCATTATTCCAGCTATATCGTGGCGGCCTGGAAATAATCGAGTCTGGACCAGACAAACCAGTGATTGAAATTGTCACAACAATCCACCCTGCGGGGTACGATGACACACTATCAACCAAGTCACTGAGCCTGATAATTCACCTGATAAGGGACAGAAGGAGCCTTGAAACGTTTCTAACAAGAAGGAATTTGTTAGGCTAAAAAAAATAATAATCTTGGTTCTCAGGCACTGCCCGCTTCACCATAAAGTCCACCACACGTTTCGTTTTTATTTCCATTTTCAAACACATAAACAAATCTTAACTCTTAAAAACAATGCGATCCAATATAGCACACAGTACATGTACACTGCTTTAAGGCACGTCTTGTGTTATGGCCATTGCAGCAATAGGAGTCTGTATGCTTGTTTATGTAGGGAGGCCCTTTCCCAGGTTGATGGTACACAACAGTTTATTTGGTAACATACTAGTTTGAACACCCCACCCCAACCCCCAAAAAACAAAACACCCAGCCTGCCCGAACTATATTTTATAAAAGTCATTGCCAGAGAACCATTTTATTTATTTTTTTAATCCTTATCCGTAAATTTTCATGCCTTCAAGTTGTATGTTAACTTGTGAATACAGAATGCACACTCTTGATGAATATGTTGATGTTATGTGAAATTGTCTGTTTGTCATATTCTTGGTTCAAATAGACTTCCTGTGTGTGTACTCTAGTATTTTACCTGTGTGGTTTCAGCCAAGAAGTACATCGTGAACGTCTACACGGGAGGTGAGAAAGGGGGAGGGACAGATGCTAATGTATTCCTGACGATCTTCGGAGAGCGGGGGGACACAGGGGAGAGGAAGCTCCACACCTCGGAGACACACCGAGACAAGTTTGAGAAAAATCAGGTAAGAGAAGGCAATAAATGGAGAAAAGTTACATGGATTCTTTTTGAAAATTGAAAAGATTTCTTTACGCAGCTTAAAGATTATTTGTTTGTTTAGATCTGATTGTATTAAGATTCAAATTATTTGTGATTCTAGGCACCCAAGGCCGTAGTTAACTTTTTTTGACAGGGAGGGGGCAAATATTTGTACAAGTATCACTTGTCCCCAACTTGTATTTTCATGCCCCCCCTGCCCCCCGGCTGGCTACAGCACTGGCGCCATTACTGTAATTTGCTGTTTCACACTTAAATGGACACAAGAGGCCAGAGTTCCAAGTTGCCATATCTCTTTGTACAGAGTTGTGTCCCTTATCTACCAGGATCCACTGATTGTGGATTTAAATTACTCTGAATACAATCCTTGGTGTAACACTGTACTTGTGCTTGTTGCTTTTACCATGTGGTAGATACCTATGACCTGTATCACTATTGGTTTTCCTTCCACACTAAATATACGACCTCCCTTTGAGACTGTCATAGTTCCTATGGGGAATTAAAGGGACAGTACTTCAATGGTTCTGTGTTTTAATATCCTGTATTAACAAGGGTCACATCTCACCCACTTGTGGATGTGATTGTTCGGCCAATTGTTTATCTGCATTGCCCAGCTACATCCTAGAGGAGCAACTCACTTCCCCAAAAGAAATAGCGTCACCCAGTTTATGACATCATCCACTTGCGATCGTATGTTTTGAATCTCCAAAAATGACAGCGTGAAAGAACAATGTGTTATCATGAAATAACCATGCCTTGTTGTTCATTGTACTCTGTGATTTATCGTGTAGCTATTTTATGTATGTTAAAGCTATCCTGGGAGTAGTATTGTAGAGTTGTTATTGATTTCTGTTTTGCAACAATGTCTTCATTTCATAAATAGTTATAGTTGTGTTCATATTTTGTAGAGGTCATGTTGTACAAGGTTAATGTCATCCAATGTTCATATTATCCCAGGTTCATATTGTCCAATGTTCATATTATCCCAGGTTTATATTGTCCTCTGTTCATATATCCCAGGTTCATATTGTCCAATGTTCATATTATCCCAGGTTCATATTGTCCAATGTTCATATTATCCCAGGTTCATATTATCCCAGGTTTATATTGTCCTCTGTTCATATTATCCCAGGTTCATATTGTCCAATGTTTGTATTATCCCAGGTTCATATTGTCCTCCGTCATATTATCCCAGGTTCATATTATCCAACGTTCATATTATCCCAGGTTTATACTGTCCAAGTTTCATATTATCCAGGGTTTATATTGTCCCAGGGTTTATATTATCCCAGGTTCTTATTATCCAGGGTTTATATTGTCCTAGGTGCATATTATCCCAGGTTCTAATCATCCAGGGTTTATCTAATCATGAGTTCATTATGTTCTATGTTGCTTTTCCACTTAGAAATCAGACTCAAGTTCTGTTTGTCCCCCTTGCTGTGACATACCCCAGATACACCAGATCCACTCACTCACTCACTCACTCACTCACTCACTCACTCACTCACTCACTCACTCACTCACTCACTCACTCACTCACTCACTCACTCACTCACTCTGTTCCTGGTTTCCAGCATGACAAGTTCAACATAGAGGCAGGAGATCTGGGAAAGCTGCACAAGATCTACATCCGCCATGACAACTCCATGTTGAGCCCTGCGTGGTACCTCGACCGCGTCGAGATCCAGGACACCATAGACAACCAGAACTACATCTTCCACTGCGAGCGATGGCTGGCCAAGAACAAGGGAGACGGCAAGATAGAGAGGCACCTCTATGTCAAGGTGTGGTCACATAGCAACCAATTGGTCAGGGTAGGGTTAGATAGAGAGGCACCTCTATGTCAAGGTGTGGTCACATAGCAACCAATTGGTCAGGGTAGGGTTAGATAGAGAGGCACCTCTATGTCAAGGTGTGGTCACATAGCAACCAATTGGTCAGGGTAGGGTTAGATAGAGAAGCACCTCTATGTCAAGGTGTGGTCACATAGCAACCAATTGGTCAGGGTAGGGTTAGATAGAGAGGCACCTCTATGTCAAGGTGTGGTCACATAGCAACCAATTGGTCAGGGTAGGGTTAGATAGAGAAGCACCTCTATGTCAAGGCCTAGGTGCAGTCACTTAGCAACTGCTTGGTCAGGGTAGGGTTAGATAGAGAAGCACCTCTATGTCAAGGCCTGGGTGCAGTCACTTAGCAACTGCTTGGTCAGGGTAGGGTTAGTTGGAGAGGCGCCTCTATGTCAAGGTGCGGTTGGCTTAGCAACCACTTGGTCAGGGTAGGGTTAATTGGAGAGGCACCTCTATGTCAAGGTGCGGTTGGCTTAGCAACCTCTTGGTCAGGGTAGGGTTAGTTGGAGAGGCACCTCTATGTCAAGGTGCGGTTGGCTTAGCAACCTCTATGTTGGGGTAGGGTTAGATAGAGAAACACCTCTATGTCAAGGTGTGGTCACTCAGCAACCATTTGGATTGAGGATAGTCTGTGTTTAGGTTTGTGGTCTGGGACTGGGTGTGGAATCAGGTCTTGATGGGGAAGGGACTCCGTGGTCTGGACAACTCATGGTATTGAGAGTCTGGGGTCTATATCTGGAGTTTGGGGTCAAGGGGTTAAGGCTTTTGCTTTTGTCTGATTTATTTCCGATTTGGTCTGTCTGGGTGGCTGCCTTGGCCTGGATCAGGGATTAAGACTTGGATGACACTTCTAAGCCATCTGTACATTTACCACTGTACACCCCTCCTGTCTTCTTCTCTCACAGGGCTATGATGGCGAGATGTCGAGTACAGGGACTCTCAGGTCCACCAAGTACGGATCTGTCAGCAGCCTCGACTCCATGCGAACCACAGACCCTTTCAGCAAAAGTCCGCGACTCAACCGTCGACAGTCCCTCATGTCGTCCATGGAGGAAGTAACGGAAGGCCCAAGTGAGTTGAACATGTCTCCATCTATATCACTGTGTTTCTGTAGCTCATACTGCAATAATTCATTCAGGCAAAGCAGCTTTAGAAACTAAATTAGAAATATGTTAATTAGTTGATTTGCATAACCCTCACTACTGCATTATTTTATTGTCACCTTCAGATGAGTGTGAGTTTGAGCAATTTACCAGTTATATCATGGCGTGTCCACTTTATGTGGGCAGAAAGCCAAAGTGATGCTCGTCTCAGACGCTTACAACTTTGGTGAAAGCCACAAGCACGGGTATGGTGCTGACAAACCTAGAAATGTAACTGGGGTGATCCTGGATTCGAGCCACAATCAGGTTTCTGGTGTTCCCAAGGGATGCAACTCTACACAGCGAAATGTTTAGCCATAGATGACTGGGTCAACCTACAAATAAAGTGTGTTGCAATAGTGAAAAGATAATTATAAGAAGGCAATAATTAACCAGCAATAGTTAAAATGGCAATAGGTAATAGTGAAAAGATAATTATAAGAAGGCAATAGTTAACCAGCAATAGTTAAAATGGCAATAGGTAATAGTGAAAAGATAACTATAAGAATGCAATAGTTAACCAGCAATAGTTAAAATGACAATAGGTAATAGTGAAAAGATAATTATAGGAAGGCACTAATTAACCAGCAATAGTTAAAATGGCAATAGGTATTGGTAATATTTACCTAACAGACTCACACTGTTGTTACAGCTATTCCGTACACGGTGAAGGTGACGACAGGCAACGGCGAGGACAACGGCACCAGCAGCAACGTATATGTCCGGATCATCGGCCCGAAGAAAGTTCATACTGGGAGACTGTTCCTGGAGCTAGCTCAGAAGGAAAACTTCACACCAGGATCAGTCGAGACATTCTCCCTGGAGGCCATTGAGGTCGATGAAGTCAAGAAAATAGAGGTGTGTTGCCTCTTGATTGGTTAGGAGACTTGAATAAACCGAGAATAACCTACTCTCTGAGAACAATTAAGAAAAAGGTGGGTTTCCTGAAATAACGAGGAGACACCAGCTCAGACAATCTATTGTGGGAATGACATTACATACAACTGATACTCATGAAGATTTGGGCTTGCCATAAGAAGCGACTAACAGGATCGGGTGGTCAGGCTCGCTGACTTGGTTGATGCATGTCATCGTATCCCAATTGCGTGGATTGATACTCATGATATCAATCACTGGATTGTCTGGTCCAGACTCGATTATTTACAGACCGCCTTTAATAACCTGGAACATTGCTGAGTGTGGTGTTAAACAACAAACAAACATACAACTGAAAGTGACGCCGGGAAAAAATGGAAGATGCCCTCTTGGTTTTTTTTGCGAGTGTCGATATGATGTCATGTTGCTATGGAATGCTTTGCATACAATATAAACAGTCGAACAATTGACATGAACTAGCCAATCAACGTGAAGCAGCATTATAATGCTCAGTGAGAATTAATTGCGCTGATATTTTTCCCGTATGGGTAATATAAGATATTAGAATGAGTGAGTGAGTTGGGTTTAATGATGCTTTTAACAGTATTCCAGTTATATCACAGCGTGTCAGTTTAATGTGGGAGGAAAGCCCGAAGTGATGCAAGACTCAGACATTTACCACTTCAGCGAAACCCATGAGCTCGGGTATGGTGCTGACAAACCTAGAAACATAATCGGGGCGAACCGGGATTCGAACCATCATAAGTTTCTGGAGTGCCCAAGGAACGCAACTCTGCACAGCGAATCGTGGCACCTTAGACGTCTGGGCCACCTGTGCTCTCTGAGATATTAGCAGATTGTTAAGTCCATTGATGAGATGGATAACATGTGCTAGGTGTAACTACCTTATGTAATATGCTGTGCTCTGTGTTGTAGGTCGGCCATGATGGCAATGCCCCTGGCACTGGGTGGTTCCTGAAGGAAGTGGAGGTCGACCTTCCCACCAAGGGCAAGCACTATCACTTCACAGCTCAGTGCTGGCTGGCAAAGGACAAGGGCGATGGTAGAATCAGTCGAACCTTCAGCGTTGACGACGGGCAGAGCTCTGTCACCTCATACAGACCAAGTGAGTACAAGCAACAGGACATTGAAAGATAGACTAAAATAAGTACTTCTGATTACAAGAAGGTCACAAATGGCATGTCACTGCAGTTTGCTATACAGAGTTATGTCCCTTAGCTATACCAGGATTGGATGATCATGAGTTTGAATCCCAGATTCACCTTGATTATGATTGTTGGTTTCTCAGAACCATGCCTTGCCAAGAGGTGCCCAAAGTGATTTAACTCATCCTTCATGAAGCGGACTTGCTGTGATCAAATATATATTGCACAGTGTAGTTTGGTTTAAGTTTTGATGTTAATTGTTTTTGGCTTAAAAAAATTAAGAACTGGTTCTCAGGCAATGACTTTTAAGAATATAGTGTGGGCGGGCAGTGTTTTCTTTTGGGGGGAGCTTGTTCAAATTAGTATGTAACCAAATAAACAGTTGTGAATCAATCAACCTGGGAAGGGGCCTCCCTAGCTAAACAAGCACACAAACTCCAGTTGTTGCCATGACCATAACACGAGATGCACAGTAAAGCAGTAACTCCATGTTATATTGGATCGCCTTGTTTTTAAGTATTAAGATTTATATACTTATCGGGAAAATGGACATAAAAACAAACTTTCTGATGATGCCGGCGGTGCCTGAGAACCAAGACTATTATTTTGTAAGCTTTAAGAAGGTCTTTGTTACTTGTCACCTATCTTCTTCCATGGACAATAGGGTGATGATATGGCCTAGTGGTTAAAAGCATTTGCCCAGCATTCAAAAGGCCTGAGTTTAAATCGTTTCGCTGTGATAGGGCTGGAATATTGCTAAAAGCAGCTTGAAACCCACCTCACTCAATCACACATCTTTCAACCCTGTGGTCCTTAGGATAGCTCACTGTAATCTAAGACTTGACTATGTGTGTTGTTGTTGTTGCAGTGTTACCTTATGAGGTCAGCATCCAAACTGGCGATATATCAGAAGCAGGAACCGACTGTAAGATCTTCATCACCGTGTTTGGTCAAAAGGGGTCAACATCGCAGATGGAACTGCCCAAGAATGAAGACCGCTTCGAGCGGGACAGGACAGACCTTGTCAAGGTCAGTTCAAGGACAAACAACCGCCTCCGTGGTCTAGTGGTAGAGCATCCGCCTGGAGAGCGGAAGGTCCGGGGTTCGATCCCCGGCCACGTCATACCAAAAGACGTTAAAAGATGGTACTTGTTGTTACCCTGTCTGGCGCTCGGCATTAAGGGGCTAAAACAAGGACTTGTCGGCTCGGAGTCAGTATACTGTGTCTGAGTGGGGTATTCATGTTAAACTGCGGCATGGTATCTCAGTGAGCTAGCACTCTAAATCGGCATCAGTCCGGACTAGTACAAGCAGCCACACAAACACACACGTACATGCACGTCGCTATATAAGTGGAATAATCTTGGTCCCGACATTAAACCCCATTTCACCTCACCTCAAGGACAAACATAAGAGACATTAAATGAGACTTCTTAATGATTGCAGAAGCTGTATTTAGGGTATGACAGATGAAAAACATTTCCCAACCTTGCATCCTGTGAAGTAATGACTGTTCTTCTGTTTATAGCTGGAGTTGGATGACATCGCACCACTCAAAAAGTTGAGAGTGTCAGTGGAGCCTAAAGCCGGTCGCCAGTCCTGGTTTATGGACAAGGTGGGGCATAGTCTTTAACATTGATAACAAACACTTCACAAGTTCTTACTCTATATTCCTCCATCAGCCAGGGCTGATGTGCTATGTTCGCCATTTTTGACAAACAGATCAAGAAAGGTCTGGGTCCAGTGAGAGGGAAACTCGTGTGTAAATTAACCAATGAGTGCTCAGCTTACATTGCACAGACAGAAATGTTTCTCACTTGACAACATGTGCCATAGAACGTACAAAGGTCTGCTGTACACATTGCTTAAAATGTCAGGTGATCGTAGGGTTCACACAATGTTCAAGCACAGAGTGAGTGAGTGAGTTTGGTGTTACGCCACTTTTAGCAATATTCCAGCAATATAATGGCAGGGGACACCAGAAATGGGCTTCACACATTGTGCTCATGTCTGGAATCGAACCCGGGTCTTCGGTGTGACAAGCAAACGCTTTAACCACTAGGCTACCCAATCGCTCCTAAAGAGTAGGGTATCTATGACCTAACATGAGTTTTAAATGGCCTTATAAAAACAAGTACCTGTTACATTAAATGGGCTTCCACCCAGGGTAGCAGAAAGCCCATGACACAGCACACAGCACAGGTGGCCCAGTCGTCTAAGGCGCCGCGATTCGCTGTGCAGAGTTGCGTCCCTTGGGCACACCAGAAACCGATGATCGTGGGTCCAAATCCCGGTTCACCCCGAATATGTTTCTAGGTTTGTAAGCACCATACCCGTGCTCGTGGGTTTCATCAAAGTGGTAAATGTCCAAGACCGTGCGTGTGTCCCGAAATCGTTTCCGGAGCATAACTCAGAAACTGTTAAATACTTTCTTACAAAACATTGCATGTCTACCAGGCACATACTGAACTGGTGCCTTTTGATATTTAGCACTTTTAGAAATCTTTATTGTTTATGTTTCCATGACAACAAGTTGGATTTAAGTTTTAATATAGGATGGGTTCACTTATGGAGTATAACAAATAAACTGTTAAATATTTCCTTGCCAAACATTGCATGTCTATATATAAAGCACCTACTGAACTGGTGCCATTTGATATTAAGGAGTTTTAGAAATTCCATTGCAGCTATTTTGACATGGGCTAGGAGAAATGTTGGGTCAGTTACCCGGTTTGGGACCATAACATGTTAAAATGGGCAGGGGATATAGATGATTTCGTCGACTGTACGCTTGTTTTCATGAAAATGCCTTTCATTTTCTTACTTAAAATATACATGAATTGCAACTACATGCAGCAATATGATGGCGGAATGTATACACACCCCGAGTGCAGATGATGAATCCTTTAATCAGATTTCCAAAGTTTTGCATGATCAAATGAGGTAGATAATATGAGAAAGATCGTAAACAGAATCCACTGCTACACATTGTAAAGTGATGCAAGGCAATTACATCAAGGAACCAGTCTTGAAGACAAAAGGTCCATTGCAGTGGTAAATACATTTGTAACCCTCTTTGTTTTACCTTTAACTTGGGTAATAATTGATAATTACTAATTTAGGGGGTAGCTCCTTCCTGTTTCATGTAATGATGTGTTTCCATCCTGCAGATTGAGTTGCGTAACATGGAAACCGGTGTGCTCTCCGTGTTCAATTACAAGGATTGGCTCGGCAAGGGGAAAGACAAAGGTGAAGGTCGTCTGTCAGTAGATATCCCGGCCACAGAGAGGGGCAAGGCTGTTATTGGAAGTAAGTCGGTGTTCTTTTTATATCAATCTTATGACATTCTGATGTCAGCATTGCCATTGCCATTGCTTGGGAGAACAAGGTCAAGGTCTTAGCTCCAATTCAAGAATAAATGGAGAGCTTATCAGGTTCCCCTTTGTCATTTTCAAACAACCAAATAAACAGTTATGTTACCAAATAAACAATTGTGTACAATCAACCTGGGAAAGGGCCTCCCTACATAAATGTATTCCTTGATGTGTAAAATACTGGAATACCGTTTTTTAGGATTTTTAATTTTTAAATGGATATAAAAATGAAACATACAAACTTTATGATGATGCAGGCGATCCCTGAGAACCAAGACTATTATTTTTTTTAGCCTTTTCTGATTGTGTTTTTTGGCTTGGTAACTCTTTAGTTGATTGCGTGTCATTCTGCCCCGATGGAGTGGACTGCTGCTCAAGATGCCAGCCACTTTATTATCTACGAGTCACAGTTGATCAAACTGGAATATTGCTGACTGCAGCATTAAACAACATTCATTCACTCACTATTACAGAGACCCACTACAAGATCAGCGTGAACACAACGGACATCCGAGGCTCTGGTACTGATGCCAATGTGTACATCATTCTGTTTGGCGCCAACGGTGACTCTGGTGATATTCACCTCGACAAGTCCGAGACCAACAAAGATCCCTTCGAACAGGGCAGAAACGACGTGTTCACCATCAAGAACATTCTCACACTCGGGGAACTCAGCAAACTCCGGGTGTGGCACGACAACAAAGGTTAGACTCTTTACTCAAGGTCAAGGTCAAAGAGTGAAGATTATGGCTGGCTGTTTTAGCAGAACTGCAGCAAATGTGAACAGGGGCGCTGATGCTAATATTCATGGGGAAACCAAATTTGTGTCTTTAATGCTTTAATACATCAGAGGACGACTCACCTTCCTTGAAGGTCAAAGAAGATAATCTTGCATGAAGACCTCTGGTATTTATACTGATGGAAAGGCCTGAGAGAATGTGGGACAATACGGCTGTGGAAAATCTAATATTTTCATTTAATATATAAGTGCTTCATATCAAAGTAAGACATGGATGAAATCACTATCAACCATGTCATATTCTGGGTCAAAATGTGATATCATGTCAAACACATGCTTTCCTTGGTATCTGTTCGTTTCATTTCTTCCCATGTATGTACCAGTGATATGGTTCAAGCTAGGCGTGAGTTCAGAACGGGTTTGACTCCAACATCTACTTAAGTTTCATGAGCTGTTTGTTAGATGTCAAAAGTATTTTATCGAAAACAAAAAAATTGGAGAGACACAGATTTCATCTGAACGTTTGGATCTTTCCAGGCCTTGGAGCTTCCTGGCACCTGGCTTCCATCGATGTGGAAGACCTCTCTTCTCACAAGACCTACAACTTCATCTGTAATCGATGGCTGTCGAAGAGCGAGGATGACAAACAACTTATCCGGGAACTGACATGCAGCAACCAGCTCCAGTCCGATTCAGGATCCTCTGGCAAAGTCGGTAAGTACATGCACAGTGTCTACTGGAGCTGTAACGATTCACTTGCATATTTGGTGAATCGAACCGTATCCCTTCATGAATTGAATTCGTTATTTGTGGTCACTAGAATTGAATACTTAAAACAAAAAATTTAAAACAGTGTTTTTGACTTGAAGTTGTCTGTTATTTATCAAAGCAAGACATGCAAAATGCAGTATATTCAAGCCATGCAGTAGTCCGTTGTATGGGTCATCCACCTCGGTTAAGGCTGATTGTCTATAATGCTCATCAATTATTTGGACCCCAAAGGTAGCTTTGTAGCGAGCGATCACTGTATTCTTCATTGAATGTAATAAACAATACATTGAATATTATAAATAATACATCAACTGCTGACTTGTTGTATTCGTAAATAAATATTCCCACTTGTTACCCTATATTCGTGATATGTATCGTATTCGCCTCATAGTGTATCCGTTGCAGCCCTAGTGTCTACACATCATCAGTAGTGCACGGGTTTGTCTGTGAATACATACTGTCTCAACAGAAAAAAATAGTTGTTCCCGGTTTGTCTTGTGACAGTTCACCAAAACACACCTGTTGCTTAACAACTAACACATGCTTTTGTGAATCTCATGAGTACTGTAAATCTTGAAATTAGCCCGAGTGTGAATTAAATGCGAAAAATGTGAGTGGTCTTTGTTCGCATTAATTAACTTCACACTTATGTCTCCAAATGACTATCAACAATAAGACGGCCTCACTGCACACTTTGGATAGAGATACCAACTTGAATATTAACACAAAGACAAGTTTATTGAGCAGCAGTTGTAACAAGTACATAACAATGTCATTCAAAATAGGAATTACACAATGGGCATCCGGTGAGTTATCACTACTGGGGTCAGGAGTCCTACGCACTCGTGTCAAGCTTGTTGACATCTTCTCTGCATACCAATGTTCAGTAAGCTAATGACATGAGGCCATATACTACTTCATGCAGGAACTTTGTGCAAAACCTGGTATTTACTGAACCAGTGATCTGAACCACAATCTGTGCCATCAGGGTAAAATGACATGCAGTCATCCAAGTCGCATCCTAATGGATCTGCTCGTATGTTGATCATAGTGCTGGGAGCCGGACTCTCCACAAGGCAATGGCATGATGACTGATGTTGTTTGTTTCAGTGTATGACATCGAGGTGACGACGACGGACAAAAAGGAAGGGGGGACAATCCATAACGCCTGGCTAATCCTCGAGGGATCCCGAAAAACATCAAAACCTTTCCATATAGAAAACAGCCCACAGAACAAAGTACTACGCAGGTAGAAATAAGTTGTTATCTTTATTATGACATTTGATTAACGTTGTGAAAAGAATTTTGTTTGTTTGTTTGTTGTTTACGCTGCACTCAGCAATACTCCAGCTATATGACGGCGGTCTGTAAATAATCGAGTCTGGACCAGACAATCCAGTGATTAACATCATGTGCATTGATCTACACAATTTGGATATGATGACATGCATCAACCAAGTCAGCGAGCCTGACCACCCGATCCCGTTAGTTGCCTCTTACCACAAGCATACTCGCCTTTTATGGCAAACATGGGTTGCTGAAGACCTGAAGAGAATAAATTATTAACCTCAGAGTGTGACATATATGCCTTTTGAAACACCAAAGTGTCACAAGAAAATAGCGCTGCCTTTCTATACGGGCACGGATAGCCCAGTTGTCTAGGGTGCAACAATCATCTGTTGATGATCATGAGTTTGAATCCCAGAGGATGATACGAGCTATGTCAAAACAATCCCCATGCTAATGTAAAACGTTTCTATGATTCTGCATGAAGACACGTCAGCATTGTATAAATCCATCCTCTCTCAGAGTTCACTTACAGACTCGGGTATATGATTTTGAAATGGCACACTAGACCAAGGTCGCTAGGCCTGGGATGGGTAACTTGGGTACTCGGGCCAGGGGTAGGAATCTGGTGTCCATGTTATATGGTTGAGCAAAGATAAAGCTTCAGTGTATGCACGATCGGATTGTTTTACTTGTGTACATGTATCTAAACATTTATCACCTGGACTCCTGTAAAACAATTCCCAATTGGACATTTTGTATCCAACTCCCTGTCTGGATCCTCCAGTGATTGGCTGACCTGTTGCATGTTCTCTCCCACCCTGTCTGGATCCTCCAGTGATTGGCTGACCTGTTGCATGTTCTCTCCCACCCTGTCTGGATCCTCCAGTGATTGGCTGACCTGTTGCATGTTCTCTCCCACCCTGTCTGGATCCTCCAGTGATTGGCTGACCTGTTGCATGTTCTCTCCCACCCTGTCTGGATCTGCCAGTGATTGGCTGACCTGTTGCATGTTCTCTCCCACCCTGTCTGGATCTGCCAGTGATTGGCTGACCTGTTGCATGTTCTCTCCCACCCTGTCTGGATCCTCCAGTGATTGGCTGACCTGTTGCATGTTCTCTCCCACCCTGTCTGGATCTGCCAGTGATTGGCTGACCTGTTGCATGTTCTCTCCCACCCTGTCTGGATCCTCCAGTGATTGGCTGACCTGTTGCATGTTCTCTCCCACCCTGTCTGGATCTGCCAGTGATTGGCTGACCTGTTGCATGTTCTCTCCCACCCTGTCTGGATCTGCCAGTGATTGGCTGACCTGTTGCATGTTCTCTCCCACCCTGTCTGGATCCTCCATTGATTGGCTGACCTGTTGCATGTTCTCTCCCACCCTGTCTGGATCTGCCAGTGATTGGCTGACCTGTTGCATGTTCTCTCCCACCCTGTCTGGATCTGCCAGTGATTGGCTGACCTGTTGCATGTTCTCTCCCACCCTGTCTGGATCCTCCAGTGATTGGCTGACCTGTTGCATGTTCTCTCCCACCCTGTCTGGATCTGCCAGTGATTGGCTGACCTGTTGCATGTTCTCTCCCACCCTGTCTGGATCCTCCAGTGATTGGCTGACCTGTTGCATGTTCTCTCCCACCCTGTCTGGATCCTCCAGTGATTGGCTGACCTGTTGCATGTTCTCTCCCACCCTGTCTGGATCCTCCAGTGATTGGCTGACCTGTTGCATGTTCTCTCCCACCCTGTCTGGATCCTCCAGTGATTGGCTGACCTGTTGCATGTTCTCTCCCACCCTGTCTGGATCTGCCAGTGATTGGCTGACCTGTTGCATGTTCTCTCCCACCCTGTCTGGATCCTCCAGTGATTGGCTGACCTGTTGCATGTTCTCTCCCACCCTGTCTGGATCTGCCAGTGATTGGCTGACCTGTTGCATGTTCTCTCCCACCCTGTCTGGATCCTCCAGTGATTGGCTGACCTGTTGCATGTTCTCTCCCACCCTGTCTGGATCCTCCAGTGATTGGCTGACCTGTTGCATGTTCTCTCCCACCCTGTCTGGATCCTCCAGTGATTGGCTGACCTGTTGCATGTTCTCTCCCACCCTGTCTGGATCCTCCAGTGATTGGCTGACCTGTTGCATGTTCTCTCCCACCCTGTCTGGATCCTCCAGTGATTGGCTGACCTGTTGCATGTTCTCTCCCACCCTGTCTGGATCCTCCAGTGATTGGCTGACCTGTTGCATGTTCTCTCCCACCCTGTCTGGATCCTCCAGTGATTGGCTGACCTGTTGCATGTTCTCTCCCACCCTGTCTGGATCTGCCAGTGATTGGCTGACCTGTTGCATGTTCTCTCCCACCCAGTCTGGATCTGCCAGTGATTGGCTGACCTGTTGCATGTTCTCTCCCACCCTGTCTGGATCCTCCAGTGATTGGCTGACCTGTTGCATGTTCTCTCCCACCCTGTCTGGATCTGCCAGTGATTGGCTGACCTGTTGCATGTTCTCTCCCACCCTGTCTGGATCCTCCAGTGATTGGCTGACCTGTTGCATGTTCTCTCCCACCCTGTCTGGATCCTCCAGTGATTGGCTGACCTGTTGCATGTTCTCTCCCACCCTGTCTGGATCCTCCAGTGATTGGCTGACCTGTTGCATGTTCTCTCCCACCCTGTCTGGATCCTCCAGTGATTGGCTGACCTGTTGCATGTTCTCTCCCACCCTGTCTGGATCCTCCAGTGATTGGCTGACCTGTTGCATGTTCTCTCCCACCCTGTCTGGATCCTCCAGTGATTGGCTGACCTGTTGCATGTTCTCTCCCACCCTGTCTGGATCTGCCAGTGATTGGCTGACCTGTTGCATGTTCTCTCCCACCCTGTCTGGATCCTCCAGTGATTGGCTGACCTGTTGCATGTTCTCTCCCACCCTGTCTGGATCCTCCAGTGATTGGCTGACCTGTTGCATGTTCTCTCCCACCCTGTCTGGATCTGCCAGTGATTGGCTGACCTGTTGCATGTTCTCTCCCACCCTGTCTGGATCTGCCAGTGATTGGCTGACCTGTTGCATGTTCTCTCCCACCCTGTCTGGATTAGCCAATACCTACATTATCTTATTTATGTTTACTATTTGCAGGGGACAAACTGACAATTTCCGGATGACGTCTGCCGCACTGGGAAAACTTGAAAGTTGCATAATCGGTGCTTATGAGCGTGAAGATCGGCCAATCACAACGAGTGAAGGGAAAGAAGGTTCCTGGCATTGTCATGAGGTGGTAGTTACCGACACCACAGGCGGAGGAAAGTGAGTTGTACTGTATATAGATCTACAGCCTGTCTTCACAGATTGAGTTATATAGATGCAATACAGGCCATTTGTAACAAAGTTAGTTATTCAGATATTGATACACGCCGGATTTAGCAAAGTGACTTATTCAGATGGGATATAACTTTTAGTTAAACATATATACATACAGACGGGATATTACGATGTGTGTTAAACAGATAAACACACAGACGGGATATTACGATGTTTGTTAAACAGATATACACACAGACGGGATATTACGATGTGTGTTAAACAGATATACACACAGATGGGATATTACGATGTGTGTTAAACAGATATACACACAGACGGGATATTACGATGTGTGTTAAACAGATATACAGACAGACGGGATATTACGATGTGTGTTAAACAGATATACAGACAGACGGGATATTACGATGTGTGTTAAACAGATATACACACAGACGGGATATTACGATGTTTGTTAAACAGATATACACACAGACGGGATATTACGATGTGTGTTAAACAGATATACACACAGACGGGATATTACGATGTGTGTTAAACAGATATACACACAGACGGGATATTACGATGTTTGTTAAACAGATATACACACAGACGGGATATTACGATGTGTGTTAAACAGATATACAGACAGACGGGATATTACGATGTGTGTTAAACAGATATACAGACAGACGGGATATTACGATGTGTGTTAAACAGATATACACACAGACGGGATATTGCGATGTGTGGTAAACAGTTATACACACAGACGGGATATTGCGATATGTGGTAAAAAGATATACACACAGACGGGATATTGCGATGTGTGGTAAACAGATATACACACAGACGGGATATTGCGATGTGAGTTAGACAGATATACACACAGACGGGATATTGCGATGTGAGTTAAACAGATATACAAACAGACGGGATATTACGATGTGAGTTAAACAGATATACACACAGACGGGATATTGCGATGTGAGTTAGACAGATATACACACAGACGGGATATTACGATGTGTGGTAAACAGATATACACACAGATGGGATATTACGATGTGAGTTAGACAGATATACACACAGACGGGATATTACGATGTGAGTTAAACAGATATACACACAGACGGGATATTATGATGTGAGTTAAACAGATATACAAACAGACGGGATATTACGATGTGAGTTAAACAGATATACACACAGATGGGATATTATGATGTGAGTTAAACAGATATACAAACAGACGGGATATTACGATGTGAGTTAAACAGATATACACACAGATGGGATATTACGATGTGAGTTCAACAGATATACAAACAGACGGGATATTACGATGTGAGTTAAACAGATATACACACAGATGGGATATTACGATGTGAGTTCAACAGATATACAAACAGACGGGATATCACGATGTGAGTTAGACAGATATACATACAGACGGGATATTACGATGTTAAACAGATATACACACAGACGGGATATTGCGATGTGAGTTAGACAGATATACATACAGGCGGGATATTACGATGTGAGTTAGACAGATATACACACAGACGGGATATTACGATGTGAGTTAAACAGATATACAAACAGACGGGATATTACGATGTAAGTTAAACAGATATACACACAGATGGGATATTACGATGTGAGTTAAACAGATATACAAACAGACGGGATATTACGATGTGAGTTAAACAGATATACACACAGATGGGATATTACGATGTGAGTTCAACAGATATACACACAGACGGGATATCACGATGTGAGTTAAACAGATATACACACAGATGGGATATTACGATGTGAGTTAAACAGATATACACACAGATGGGATATTACGATGTGAGTTCAACAGATATACACACAGACGGGATATCACGATGTGAGTTAGACAGATATACATACAGACTGGATATTACGATGTGAGTTAAACAGATATACACACAGACGGGATATTGCGATGTGAGTTAAACAGATATACATACAGGCGGGATATTACGATGTGAGTTAAACAGATATACACACAGACGGGATATTACGATGTGAGTTAAACAGATATACACACAGACGGGATATTACGATGTGAGTTAAACAGATATACATACCAATGGGATATAACAAAGTGAGTTAAACAGATATACATACCGACGGGATATAGCAAAGTGAGCTAAACAGATATACATACCGTTGTCGGAGAAGTTGTGAGAATGGTCTTCAGCAATAAGAACCAATGTTACACAGAGTATGCCCAGCTTCCCTAGTTACAAGACATCTCTATGTTCCAGGTTCTACTTCCCATGCAAGTCTTGGGTGCCAATCAATCGCAAATTCTCCAAGAATTCTGGCAAACAGCTTGATGTGAAGAAGGTAGAGGAGAGCCAGGTGTCTAAGACCCGAGGTACGAGTTCGGATCCAATTCGCTTGAAGATATTCCCTGAAATACCTTTTGTTATTTTTTGGTTACAAATTTTATCTTAAATTTCCAATTACTTTTTCAAGATATTTGCCATGAACGTTTGGCAAACTCACTCTTCTGAGATGTCCTCTCTGTTAGTTCTTAAATCTGTAGATCTGTCAAACATGTCAAAGAAATAAGGTTTGTTTAATAATTTTTTTATCAAATAATATACTCAACTTTTCCTAGTGGTATTCCAGTGGCCATACTACAGTAGGTTTGCTCTAAATGGTACATTTGGGATATAATTACCTGCCTGATTTAATTTGGTGGTGGGTAAGCCTAGTGATTACATCTTCCCGAGGCAGCGGAGTTGACTGACTATAAAAGTCCAGTGTCTGCCCGTGCCGAATTAGGCTTGAATTTGTGGGCTCAATCATTGAAATTATGAGTTATGTCCCATCTATGTCCCTCCTATTGACCAATCAGATTCCATCTATCATATCAATTGCATTTGCTTCAAACAAAATGGCGGGGCCTTGTCAAGTCAATCTGATGGATAATCAAGATTTATATTGTAATTAAACTTTTACATTGGGAAGTGAATCAAATCACTTGACCACCTTGATTAAAAACATCAAACATGAAAAGATTTGCAAAATATCAGTCAACGCCTCATCTGTACGTTAAAATGGATGTTGTTTATGAACCGGATGTGTAGTTTTTTACACGATTTTGATTGGACTATGTATAGACTTGCTAGTCCAGCCAAAATGTGACTCCAGAGTTCTTACCTAGTTCAGCAAGGGTCGAAACTGGACTTTTTATAGTCAGTCAATGTCCTTGCCTCGAGTTGATGAGTGATTAAAGCAATTCTCATCACAATAAAGGACATATGTGCAGCTATTTGGTGTCCCCTGCCATGATATGGCTGTAACATTGCTGAACAGCATAAACCCTACTCACCCACTCAGTCCGTTATCCACCGTACTGATTGCTAATGATTTTGAAGCTACAGGGCCCAAAAGGCTTCCGTTTCTCAGTATCGTTATTAGTATTTGAGTGTCATGGTAGGCGAGTCATTAAAAGTGAAGAGTGCTGTAAGTCTTTCTGTGGAGGAAGCTGACTTGTGAAGTATGTTTTCCTTTCAGACCTGGCACCAGTGAAGTATGAGATCATCGTCCACACTGGCAACGTGAAGGGTTCCGGAACCAACGCTAATGTGTCCATTACCATATTTGGTGAAAACGGTGATACAGGAAAGAGGCCTTTGAAACAGAAGTTCCGGGATCTGTTTGAGAAAAACCAGACTGACAAGTTTGAGATTGAAGCTCTTGACCTGGGTATGATTCATTTTCTAAGTCTTATTCCTCTTTCTCTTAATTATGAATATTGGCTATCCAAACAATTTTTGTGTGTGTTTATGTTTGCACCAAAAAAATTAAAATAAGCCACTCCCACTAACAGTCTTATTTCATGGCCCCACCACAATAGAGACCGCCTCCGTGGTAGAGTGATAAAGCGTACGCCTGGAGAACGGAAGTTCCGGGGTTCGATCCCCGGCCGCATCATAACAAAATACATTTAAAGATGGTACTTGTTGTTACCTTGTCTGGCACTCGGTATTAAGGGGCTAAAACATGGACTGGTCAGCTCGGGGTCAGTATACTGTGTCTGAGTGGGGTATTCATGTTTAACTGCAGGCCAGCACGAAAAATTGGCATCAGTCTGGACAAGTACAAGCAGCCACACACACGTGCATGCACGTCGCTATATAAGTGCAATAATCTTGGACACGCTGTTAAACCTCATTTTACCTCACCTCACCTCACCTCACCTCACCTCACCTCACAACCAATATAGTTGTGATGAATTTTGGCAACTACCTCTTTTGCAGTCATTTTTTCATTCCCTTTATCTCAAACTGCCACCCGATCCCATCCCACTCCAAATAATAAATTACCAGTCCCTCACTTAACCACACATACTACAACACTGTAAATATTCATGGTTGCTGGAGAAACACAGTGTATACAAACAAGTGAAGTATTGACGATGATGCAGGCTCACAGCACTGTTATCCCCCGCCAACATGAAGTTTTGAGGGGATATATGTTCATGCCACTGTAATATAGCTGGAATATTGCTTAGTGCAGTGTTAATAAACTGGATCAGTGGTCAAACTTGGTGACTTGGTTTATAATGAGTTATCGTACCCAGATGGGACATTGCCCAACCACTGGGTTGTCAAGTCCAGATATGTACAGTTCACCATCATGTAGCGGGAATATTGCAGCATAACAAAATTCTTTAGAATACCCGAAGGAACTACCGTATTCCACGTAATAAGCGCCCCGCTCTAATAAGCGCCCATGGCAATATTTGCTAATATATTGGGAAGTGAACAATCCCAATTAGCATCCCTTCCGATTGGTCAATGTACACAAGACTGATTTATTCGTGTATGATACGCACTCGTGTGTTATATGCCCCCTTAATTAAGGGCAATTAAATTCTGGAAAAATATATCTGTCTTATATAAACAGTTCAGACCATCAGCATAAACCACGAAATTTATCTTTCAAATCTGTTTTTTTTCCACCAAAATAATATTCTAATCAGAGCCCCCTATTTCTAATTTTGAGAGCGCCCTGGGCGCTTATTACGTCGAATACGGTACTTTCAGTGAAGAGTAATTTTCTGCCCTTGAAAAGAGAATATGGCAGATTAGCTTTATTATATTTGATGATTTGCTCTCATTTATCAGGTGAGCTAAAGAAGATACGTATCGAACATGACAACACTGGCTTCCGACCGGGCTGGTTCCTTGACAACGTACAGATTGTCAACAAAGCTACAGAGGTCACGTACAACTACCCCTGCGAAAAATGGTTTGACAAAGACAAGGGTGACGGAGAAATATGTCGGGAAGTCTATGTAAGACATGACTAGTGCTGCTTATGGTGATTCCCTAAAAACTGACTGTGATATTTTAATCAGAACAACTGCTTATTATGAGACTCCTGATAATACGAGGTGTAAATAAATCAACCATTATGACATAAACAAATAGGTTTTATCTATTAGTCAGGAAAAATATGAACTTGTTGTTCCTTTATGATCAATGTAAATTACATATATTTATATCTTATTAGTTGTGACCATGTAGTATTTCTTCCCAAGGATCTATTTTTTTTAAGAATTATCTAAAGCTAATGTTTAACATGAAGTCAGGATTGATGATATTGCAGTGTGTATCCATGACAACCACCCATATTTACATGCCATTAAGAATTCACAAACTATATTTATTATGATATGAAGTATACAAATACTGATAGTCAATACTGGGGCGGTCGGGTAGCCTAGTGGTTAAAGCATTCACTCGTCACGCCGAAGATCCGGGTTCGATTCCCGACATGGACACAATATATGAAGCCCATTTCTGGTGTCCCCCGCCGTGATATTGCTGGAATATTGCTAAACGCGGCATATAATCATACTCGCTCACTGATAGTCAATACTAGATGCTGTTGGTTCTATTGTAGCTTACTGTTGTGATGTTACTGTTGTGACACTGTCAACTGGTTCTCAGGAAAGTATCATGTTAGTTTGTCCGTACGTTATTGTTGATTCGATTTGCTATTAAAGTGACCTTAACCATGCAAGTGCCCCCACGAAGTCTTTACATAATATTTTCTTTAAGACATATTAAAAAAAAAAAGATTGTGGTACAAACGTAAATTCACCCTGTGACCCAGGAAATGGAGTTACTATACCCCAATATATAATTATGAATACACAATGTCATTTAGAGAAAGTGGTCAAATGTAACATTTGGTTGTATTTGAGATAACACTTTCTTTGTAAAGAAAAAATTCTCGTACTTTCTTTGGTTGAGTCCTATCTGGGATTGAAACCCATGCTCCAAGTATAACATTAGTTACGGTATATAGTTATACGAGCGAATTCATCCGTCCTTCCTGCTTTTTTTAATGTTTTTAACTTAGAAACATGTTGGAGTTGAAGTCGGAGTTATTAGTGAGCCCTGCTAATTTTTTGCCTTGTTTAAAGATGGTGAACATTAAATTATTAAAAATTTATGTTTCATAGTTTTAATTTGGGCAGGATGAGTTGCACTAAGAGATGAAACATTTAACAGTTATTAAACTTGGTATGTAACAGTATAATGCCTGTCATATTGCCAAGATTATGTTTCATTTAGTTACTCTTTTTATATTTTTACGGTTTACAGATTTTTGCTGACCAATTTCGAAATAGAAATCAATTAATGTGTCTCAACATTTTAAATTTATTTGGCATGAAGTTGTTTAATTTTGTATCTTGTTGAAGTTGTATCTTTTTATTTTTCAAATCAGTCAAAGATGACTCGATGGAGCAAATAAGATATAAATCAGACTATACTCATTTTATTTTCTGATTGGACTTTTCGAATCTGTAAATCGGTAAATAAACAAAGTGTTGACTTACTAGCTATGTTATTGTTATGCATATAGCTTTTAACAGAGTATTTTTGATGCTTTATCTTGTAGACAATATGTGATGAAGTCTTATTTTTTCTTCTGTGGGACCAATTTTGCTAGAAGTCTTTTACAGTTGTTGTATATTGGAAACGTTGTACATTTGTACAAGGCAGCATATATATAGTATATATATATATATATATATTAGGGCTGGCATGGTCAACTCGGGTACCCGGGATGGATGGGTACTGAGTAGGACCCGGGTACCCACAGGACAAAAATTATCAAGAACTCTATGGTTACACTACAAGTCACTAATGTCCGCATTTCTTTCTGACTTTCATATGGTTGAATAAAGATATAACTTAATTCAACTTCAGTGTATGCATGACCAGATTGTTTAATACATGTATCTAAATACGTTTTGCCAGGGCTAGGCTCGATCTTCCCAATCGGACATTTTGAGACATCTCCTGAGACCTTCAGTGGGTCCTCGGGTAGGGTCGGGTAACGGGGGGGTTGGGGGAGTGGGGGGTCCCCGGGTAGTAAACTTGGACTAGTCCCAGCCCTAATATATATATGTATCTGTGAGAGGAATATTATTATGTACACACTGGTTGTGTAAATATTGTGTATATAGTTGTTACACCATCACTGAAACCACCAGTCTCTGTACCACAACACACATCTGTGTTCTCTGTGATATAAATTATTAATCCTGCATCATTTTGCCTTCATCTGTATTCCTATATTTTGTGTTGATTATCATGATATTATGTTAATTTCCAAATCAGACATTATTTACAAGTTTATATCATGTTTCATACAAGATTGATCTAAAATATATTCTGGCACTTTTTTTTATCTTTAATTAATTTTGTTTCATATTTGTATAAATATTATTTTACAGATGAACACCAGGTAATGTTTATTAAAATGATAAACACATTGTAAACAAATTGTAGAAAGCTATGACTATCTTTTGAAGCAAAACCATTATATCCGTCACCTAAACTTGAGTGACAGTATCATGTACTGCTTTCCTTGAAACAACTGTTCGTGGATGGATATTTAATGAATAAACTAATGATTTTGGTTCTTTTATAAAGTTTGAAGGAATGGTATTTGTAGGGGAAGGTTTAAAATAATAATGCAGCCTTATTGTGTTTTCCCATGAACAAAGAACAAGGGATTATTTTGACCGTATATTTGCTGAATATTCATCTGTACAACCTTGTCATGTGCTGGCTATACATGACAGTTTGTAATCATTGTTTGTTCAATGTACAGAATAATTCATAATGTTTGTTCATATGTGATTGTTTCTTGTTAAAAGAACATATACATAGTCATTTCAATCATACATCATCAGTTTAAAGTAGTCAATTGTGGATTTGAATTGAAACACATATTTAATAATAATACAAGCCTATGATGTATTACAAGTTTTGGTAATTATGAAGGCTTCTATTACTGTCACACAGTAACTTATTATTTTAAAATGCACGGAAATAGAAAGTTTGTTTAATTGACAAGGGCCTAGGTGCATGGTCTGAACTGCATTGCCTGTGAACTAGCTTTGTAATTATTGCATCATACTTTACCCACTTGCCTCATCATGTGTTTTAATTCTTTTATATTTTTTTTTCTAAGTGACATTTCCGAAAATAGTCATGTGAAAAAAACACATTCTTAAACTCATATAGACCTATATGTGAAATCTCTACTAAAAGCAGAGTCCTTTGTATGATAATCCATGTCACAAAATTGCCTGAAGAGTGCTTTCTAACATTTGATCTTACACAAATGAATTTAAAGATATTTAGGATATTGGTTAGATTAGATATGATCGCACTAACAATATCTCAGGGACTTTTTTAATAATCTTATCACTAAATGTTGTATATTCCAGGTATAGGATATGTGACCCTGACCTGATTTAACCTGGTTTGACCCGTTTTAACCTCTTATCATGGTCCAAGTTAAACCTGTTGTCAGGGACGTCATGTGGGTCAGCATCGTACACTGACATTAACCCACGAGACTCCTTGATAAAGTTTCATTGTATTATTTTGACAATTTTATTAGTACTTTTCCTGATACCTACATATATGTATTAAGTCAGATTTTTATCTTAAAACATTTTAATATCATTTGTGTTTTCATTCAATTGTATTGTATGGTTCCTAATGTGATGTGAATCATCGATGTTTTTTTAATTAATTAATAAGTTACATAACATAACATTTTGTTTTATAAAACCAATGTGACTTGATGTAACCACTAGTACTATCGTCATCATGCTGTATGTCTCAAAGTGCCTGGTAGGCTGTTTATTAATTTAATATCTGTGAATATAATTATTATTAATTAATCTTGTTTTAGTCATCCTATAAGGTCATTTGTCTTCAATTAAAATATATTATTTTTCTACAAGTGCTGTCCATGTCTGTGTGTTATATTTATTCCTAATGTTAGTCATTTAGTCATTATTTGCAATATTACATTAATTCCACCTCTTCAAGCTGATTGGCTTATCTGTACAGCTGTTTTTGTAATTAATCACTTGGTCCTAGAACATGACATGAACATCAATAAACGTGTCATACAGTTATAGTTTCTTTGCTTTTTTTTAGCTCACCTGACTGAGTGAGTGAGGGAGTATGTTTTTATGCCTCTTTTAGCAATATTCCATCAATATCACAACGGGGGACACCAGAAATGAACTTCACATGTTGTACCCATGTGGGGAATCGAACCAAGGTTAAGGCGTGATGAGTGAACACTTTAACCACAAGGCTACCCCACCTCTCCTCACCTGACCGAGAGTCAAGTGAGCTTTAAGGCGTGGGGTGTTTGTCCACTGACCATCGGGATGTCCCTTGTCCATCTTCATCTCTGAACCCACTGCACTGATGAAGCTGAAACGTCCAGTGCTGGTTCCCACAAATGATGATGACCACTGACACCGCAATGGCAGCCATATTGAAAACATGTCAGTGACCATAACTGTTTTTGTTCAAAATGAAATTTGGTATGTGACCAGGACCCCGTTCTACAAAGCAATCTTAGCGCTTTGACTGTCGTAAGTCAGTGTTAAAGAAAGGGAGTTACGATCGACTTAGCGCTAAGATTGCTTTGTGGAACAGGGCCCAGGGCTCCGGTCCCCAAAGTGATCTTAGCACTAAGGTGATCGTAAGTCCCATACTTTAACATAGGCTTACGATCATCGTAGCGCTAAGATTGCTTTGAGGAACGGGGCCCTAGGCACATTGGGAAAACATCTATTTTCTTATTTACTAGTTTTCTATTTAAAGTAAGAGCCCAACATAGTGTATGACCTGGTTAAAAGTAACACAATTCATGTGAAGTTCAAACCTGTAACTTAGTCTGACACATTACACCTACGGGTAGTCCTGCAACTTGACTGTAGAATTGATTTATTTATGATAAAATAATAATCTAGAAATGCATACAAAAGCAAGTCTAGTCTGCTCTAGCTAGCTCTATTCCACGGCATAGGGAAAGTTTTATTTTTTATTTTTAGAGTCAAGAAGGATATTGTGTAATATAAGATTTCATTGACTAAATGTTAGTCTAACCTACTGGGAACAATAGTCATATTCTGTGGTAACTTAATTGACAACATACCTCTTGACTACCGTTGCAGCACAACAAAAAGTTTGAGCTCTTGAAATAGGGATACTTTCGTTTTAGACATATAAAACTTTTATAAGATAAAGGAGGGTTTCCTATATCAGCTTCAAGTTGTCATTACTCACAATACAAAAAAATCTAACTGCTTGAAGTTTCCTTTAGAAATAAGCGCATGTTAAATTTGAAATTGTGTTATATAAGTAAATAGAACATGGACCAATTATGTAAATAAAGCATTTCCATGTCTGAGTACTTCAAAAACAGTCACCTTCAAAAGAACAAGGAAAGACACAGAACAAGACTTGTCTGTAATGTTAGTGTCGGAAAAGTACCTAGACTTATAAGAGGATGCGCGGAGAACAATGCCCCTTCCAGCATTAGCAAAGTCTTCAACGGGTGGTATCTGCATGGGAAAAAGATTATACAAACGGGGAACAGATCATCAGCAACTGTACTCGTGACCATGGGGACTTATCAACAAACACATGCAAAGGCAAGTCGTGTGTTTACTTGATAAAATACGGGAACATATGATACAAGCCAAACAATGGAATTTTAGATGTCCACCATAAAACGTTTGAAAGTTTTACTTTTGTTTGTTTGTTGTTTAACACCGCACTCAGCAATATTCAAGCTATGTGACGGTGGTCAGTAAATAATCGAGTCTGGACCAGACAATCCAGTGATTGATATCATGAGCATCGATCCATCGATCGCAATTGGGATCGATGACATGCATCAACCAAGTCAGCGAGCCTGACCACCCGAACCCGTTAGTCGCCCCTTACGACAAACATGGGGAAAGCTTTACTGAGCAAGAGTCGTGTGACACTTTCTGGAAGGGTATGCTCATTTTTTCCTCAAAAGTTTTGAAATGTGGGCACCAAAGGCTGGAAGCGCTGGAATGCTGCTCGACATGCAGGAATCCTTCTTGCCATTCAGCCTTGTGGATATTGTATTGTCACACTGCTTCTTTTATGCATTGATCTATAAATGAATCAGATGAGGCGATTTCAATGGTATCTTTTATTTCTAGCTGAGGTGGGTAATTCATATACCTACGATATACCTATGCTCAGTTAAACTTCTTTCCATGGTTTTGATTTTGCTAATCAGAGCAGAAATTCTGAGTCGCGTGCATAAAGAAACAGATCAGCCAGTTGGGGAGCACAATCGGTGCCCATGGGGGATTTCACTAAAGCCTTAAATGCCTCGGACCCGTCATTTTTCAAATTGAGCAAAGATGCTGTCGTAAACCTGCAACCTTGATTAAAGTAGAGCTCAACTTAACTAAGAAACATGTCCATTGCACCTTCAGTAGGCCACAGTACATTCAGCACTACGTTATTTCTTCTGAGAACTATTTATAACAACGCCCCAATGTCTCCAAGTGGAGTAGTATGTGTTGTATACGTGTAGCTAGTTTAGCAGACCTCAAATCAGATTTACCACTGGCTAAAGGTAGTATGTACGTGAGGTATTCTGATTTTACTTTACACTCTCATTGAACCTTTTAGAATGAAAGCATGAAGAAATATTTTGTTTCTGTGTTGAGAACCTTTGCCATCATATGGAGGAAGGGCCTATGTAATGATTAACTTGCTTGATTAGTTGCTGCAAATATGGCTGAGGACCGTGTTAACTAGACTTGTGTCGATCATAGTACCGCACTGTATCCTTGCAGTGCTACGATAGAATGGTGTCGACAAACCATAAATCGTCACCAGGGTTAATCAGGGACTCGAACCCACGATCACATCCTGACACGGCTAATGGACGCATCAGCCAATTGCGGTGCCTCAAACCAATATTCCTAATTGCCCTTGTTACGGTGACAACATAACACAATATTGTTCATTTAAATTTTTTATTAAAAATATTTTCCAATAAGTATGAACAAAGACAATGAATACACATATTTTCACAGTCGTGTTTTCTTAAACGTTGCTCTCAATCAGGTTTGTACTAACAGGGTGAGTATACAATAATCAAGTTGAGATGGAGGCACTGTACAGAAAATATACATCTGAGGGGGTAAGGCCGCTTTCAGCAGTATATAAATCCATCGGAACACCATGGAGGACGTCATGAATGTGGGGATCGAACCGTGGTCTTAGGCTTGGCTGGTTGGTTGGTTGGTTTGTTGTTTAACGCCACACTCAGCGGTCTGTAAATTATCGAGTCTGGACCAGACAATCCAGTGATTGACATCCTGAACATCGATCCACGCAATTGGGATCGATGACATGCATCAACCAAGTCAGCGAGCCTGACCGCCCGAACCCGTTAGTTGCCTCTATAGACAAGCATAGTTGGTTGGTTGGTTTGTTGTTAAACGCCGCACTCAGCAATATTCCAGCTATATGACGGCGGTCTGTAAAAAATCGAGTCTGGACCAGACAATCCAGTGATTATTATCATGAGCATCGATCCACGCAATTGGGATCGATGACATGTATCAACCAAGTCAGCGAGCCTGACCACCCGATCCCGTTAGTCGCCTATTACGACAAGCATAGTCGCGTATTACGACAAGCATAGTCGCCTTTTACGGCAAGTATGGGTTGCTGAAGACCTATTCTACCCCGGAATCTTCACGGGTCTCTTAGGCTTGGAGGAGAAAACACTTTAACCATTAGGCAACCCTACAACCTCACGATTTTGTGAGGCTAAACGTAATATTGTAAAGTACACTGGGAATACACAAAACATGTGTGAATTGCTATAATATATGAAATACAATCATCACTATAATCAATATTAGTATCACTTGTTTTGGTATTTACACTGACACCGATAGAATATGACCCGGATCTGTAAAGGACCGCTTGTCTATAAAGTTGGCTAAGGCTAGGTATCCCAGTGTGTACCGATACTATGGAGAACCCCTAGGCTTGTTAGGAAGGTGGTCAAATGAATACATCCAGAGCAGCATGGCTCAACCACATCTGTATATATCCATTCTCCTGATTTGTAAACACCACTAACATGGCGGAACCCAACGTTGACCCACAGCAACAAAAAACTGAGCTTTGAAATTCAAAACAATTAGTGAAATTCAAATATTTACGTTTGCTTTAATTTTTAAATATGCTTAATAAATATTTAGAATGTCACTTGGCTGAACATATCCAGGGTAGCATGGCTCAACTACGCCTGTATATAGCCACCCTCCTGACAGACCGAAAGAAAATGTCATATAAACATGTTTCAGAATCCAATGATTATTTTCCTAGCAGTTATGACGTGGTAATGGCGTTATGTAATACTGTCCATCCTAATACCATTGGATTGGAAGAGTAATAAATAGGTAAATACTTAGGGTATTCGCTAAGGGCAGCAACATTTGTAACATGACTTCCAATTCCAATAGTAAATTTACAGAATTTAATCTGAAATTTTTCAATTGCTGCAATTTTTGAATAGCCCATATTTCTGAAGTGTATAATAATACAGGCTTAATTTGACTGTCAAATATTTTAAAAAGTATATGTACGGGTATGTTCTTCAAACAATGCTGTAATTTCTTTACAACGAACAGAGCCTTATTTGCCTTCTGAACAAGAGAGTTGATACCAGTCGTCCAACACAGCCGATTTGAAAATAACAAACCTAGATAATTATAATAGGTAGATACATTAACATCTCCAAACCTCCATTTCTCAGTACTCCTAAGTTTTCCACCATTTCTGAAAACTATAATTTCCGCCTTACTAAGGTTAACTTCTAAACCCCATTTAGTCCAGAAAGATTTAAGGATATTAAGTTTTCGTTGGAGACCATCTACAGTATCATCAATTATGCACAAATCATCGGCATATAATAACAACAAAATGTCTAGAGATTCTTGACTCACAAATATTCCCCTCTCGCCGGAGGTCTGCAACATTGATTCTAATTCAACAACAAGCAAAGAGAATAATATTGGGCTAAGGGTGCAGCCTTGGCGTACACCACTTAGCGTTTCAAAGTAGCAAGTTGCAACTTTACAGCCGATTTCACTTTTAAATACATATCTTTAATGACATAGAATAACATTCCATGTATACCCTTATTTAACATGACATACCACAACAATTTTCTATTTACACAATCAAAGGCTTTTCCAAAATCAACAAATAAACAGTACAATCTGCCATTAGCTTTAGATAAGTATTTCTGTATTAGACTTTGCAACACAAATATATTATCAATGGTGCTGTATCCAGCCCTAAAACCTGCCTGAGACTCTGGTATCTTATCGTAAATGTCACAAAACATAGTAAGCCGTTTATTAAGAATAAAAGTAAATATTTTACCCAATACATCACTAAGTGTAATACCCCTATAATTGTTGACATCAAATTTGCTGCCTTTCTTATGAAGGGGAGTAAGTAAACCTCGAGCCCAATCCTCAGGAAAATTACCACTCTGCAAAATAGCATTATATAATATAACTAGATAAGGAAGAAGACTACCCTTGCAACACTTTATCATTTCTTGTAGAACTCCATCGGGACCAGCCGCCTTACCATCTTTCAAATGATTAATAGCATGTAAAATTTCTGGTTCAGTGATTTTACAATTCAAAATATCATTTAATTCTTCATCATTGCAGACAAAACAGTTAGATTCCTCGTGTTCATAAACAAAACTCTCAGCGGAAGCAAGATTATCATAATTAACATCATAATCAGTTATATTCAAAATATTTTTTAAGTAGGAGACCCATTCAGATGGAGCTATAAACTGAGTTGCATTACTGGTTTTTTTTATACAAGTCCCTTCACTTGGTTCCAGAAGATCTTAGGACTACAAGTTTGAGACATTAAATCCTCAAGTAATCGCTCTTCAAAAATCAATTTCTTTTGTCTACACATATTTCGATACGCATTTCTTAACTGTCTAAACTGTTGTAAATAGTTCAGATCACCAGTTATTCTAAACATATTAAGAATACGATATTTCTCATGTTTCAGCTCTTTACATTCGCTATCATGCCATCTTGCTCCTGAAAATGTACATATGTTTGAACTTGTAATTACCTTCATATCACTGACAGAAGCACAAGTAATGATCAATGATGTCAATTTTGTAACAGCACAATCAACACCGCTGGAAATATCACCCATGAAATCATCAAAACTATATGATGATAGCGAGTCCCGAAGTAACTCAGAAAACGCTTCAGCCTTACCAGCACACCATCGGTATCTACAAATAGATTCTGCATTATCAGCATTCATGTTACTGATAACATTCTCTGAATCTGTAACAGCAAACTTAAACACAATGGGAAAATGATCTGACTCACATCTTGTGGCTACAATGAAATCATAATTAGTACTAAATAATTCAGATGAACATAAACAATAATCAACCATGCTGGCACCCCCACCAGCAAAGCATGTAAAATCCCCGCGGGGATCTGATTTTGTTCTCCCATTCATCATATGTATATCAAGAGAACAGCATAAATCTATTAAATCACAACCACGGGAGTTTACACGATCATCTGTCCACTTTCTAGATATGCTAAAACTGTCAGTTTTATAATTCAAATCTTCCAGTGAAGGAATGTATTTGTTGCCATCCTGTAAAATATAATCCTTTAAGTTGCCTGTTCTAGCATCCATATCACCCATAATCACAAAAACAAAATCTTCAATATCAGCATCTGTGATGCACGAGAGCAAACAGTTTTCTAAATAATCAATCCCTTTCTACAGTCTTGGGTCGCTCCGGACGGATGAATATACAGGGTGAATATGACGACGGTCTGTAAATAATCGAGTCTGGACCAGACAATCCAGTGATTGACATAATTAGCAACCAAGTCAGCGAGCCTGACCACCCGTTACTCGCCTCTTATGGCAAGCATAGCCGCCTTATAAGGCAAGCATGGGTTGCTGAAGACCTATTTTACTCCGTATCTTCACGGGCTAGTTCTTGAGATTACGCGGAGTAAGGAAGGGGATCCAGACTAGTCCACTCCAGTCCTTGAGTTCCGATACATCGCGGAGTAAGAAGTCCATTACGACAAATCCAATCTGGTCGTTGAGGGTTCGTATACATATACGGAGGTAGGAAGCTTGACCTTGAGACTTGGAGGGAAAGCCTGTTGGACAAAGTTTGCTTGATATTAATTCAGAGGATGGCTGTTTGAACATACTTGTATACAGTCACGTTTCTGTTATATACCTTGGGACATTTTGCACATTTTTTTAGCAAGACAGTATAAAGGTGAAGAATAATTTGTGTGTTATACTATCCTGCTATGCCTATATACGTTTTTGACAAATGTTGTCTCAAGTTATAGTGATGTTCTTTTCACATTTTCAACAGAATCTTGTATATTCTACAGATGTTTGTATCGATTCATTGTTTGCATAATTCAGCATTCAGATACTCACCATTGTCCATAAGCATTTGTGTAGTTGACAGGAGAGTCAGGTGTGGGAGTCACGAGAAGGTTACAGCTGCGGTAATGGGACCTGTTCACATACAAATTCTGATTAGATGTTGAGTCATATGGAAGGAATGGAATAGAAACTACAGGTAAGATGTCTTTTTTCTTCGAATAGCCTACAGAGATACAATTAAGATGCATAATTTTCAAACATCAAAAATAAGATAGCTGCACGATATATCGCAAAGAACAATGAAGAACGAAGCGTGATTTATTTCAAAATAAAATCATTGTTCTATCATGACGTCATTTCTGGAGATTCGAACATGCCCTCGCAACATGACGTCGTAAATTGGACGACGTTATTGTTAACAGGGAAGTATCCAGTTAGTTGTTTCCAATAAGCTGGGCAAAGTCGATAAGCGCGATGGCCGAAGGATCGCATCCAAAAGTGGGCGAGATATGACAATCGACACTGTGAGAAAAGGTTGATATAATCGAGAATTGTGAGAATATCCAAGAAAAACAAAAAATTAACCCCCCTTTTCATAAATAAACTTGTTCGACATGGCTGAGGTCTGATTGTATTCAGGGAGTCATTATTCGAATACGGGTAAATATTTGTAAAGCTTGTACATCCTATTAACGTCCTTCAAAAGGCTGTTCATAATGTTGATATCTCATAAGAAAATAAAGTATATAATTTGAAACTCACCTTACGAATTTGTTGTGTTGAAAATACATCCATCTTAATGGACTTGGAATCTGTGTACCTATCACGTGGTATCTGATGCAAACAAATGGCAGTGGCATCGGGCTGTGGTAATGCGACCTGTACATGAAGACATTGTGATGAGATCTAATTTCATATACACCAGGAACATTCATTTAGAATAGCGTAGACCAGAGGAATGTTCTGGAAAAGAAAATACAGATGGCATGCCCTGTATCTACGAATAAGTTTAAGATATAATTAAGATTCATGCCTTTCAAACATCAAATAAAGTATATAGTTTGAAACTCACCCTGTGAATTTGTTGTGCTGAAGATGCATCCCTCTTTGTGGTTGACTTGAGATCACGTGGTAAGTGGTGAGATCACGTGGTATGTGGTGTGATCAGGGGCGATGGCATCAGTCAGGGACCGTCCTCCAGTTCAGACATACAATGTATCCAGCAGTAGGTCCACTGGGGTAGTATTGCTCATATAGCACATCATGACGTCATTCACAGACGGGCAAACGACGCTACCCCTCATAATGCCAATAGCATCGAACATGGTTAGGAATGTACTCCATCTTTAATTTCAAGTGTCAAGAATACTATTTGAAATAAATTGATTCCATAGCCAAGGGTAAATAATACTATACAAGAAATACTCGTGTGATAAGAGCTACTCTTTTAAAGTACGTACAACCTTTCTGCTTTATAATCCTTCGAAAACGTCACTGTCTAAAGACGCTAACTAGGTGAGGTGAGGTGAAATGGGGTTTACGTCGCGTCCAAGATTATTGCACTTATATAGCGACGTGCATGCATGTGTATGTGTATGTGTGGCTGCTTGTACTAGTCCGGACTAATGCCGATTTTTAGTGCTAGCACACTGAGATACCATGCCGCAGTTTAACATGAATACCCCACTCAGACACAGTATACTGACTGTGAGCCGACCAGTACTTGTTTTAGCCCCTTAATGCCGAGCGCCAAACAGGGTAACAACAAGTACCATCTTTTAATGTCTATTGGTATGACGCGGCCGGGGATCGAACCCCGGACCTTCCGTTCTCCGGGGGGACACTCTACCATTAGACCACGGAGGCGGTCTAAACGCTAACTAAATACCACTACCCGAGAAGATGCTTGTGAATACAACCTAGTCGCCGTTCAACTAGAAGGTGTTGGCGGGTGTTTCAGGTAGGAGAACGAGCCATGAAACATAAAACACCCCTCAACACCTTAAAGCCGCCGAGTCATCAGGAAGTACACATGACCATCCAGGTGTTGTAAGTGGACGATCGTCCAGAAAATCATGACTATGTAACGCTTATGGGCGATGTATCTGGTCAGTGAGCAATAGTGGCATACGAAATGTGCGTTGCCCCAGTTGGCAGTAGTGACATAAGACGAGCAGGAGTACAAAAGCTGCTATTAACAGTAAACTATTGATTCAAAGGTTTTGCTGTGTAGGTAGAACGTTTACGTTGGACACTGAGGCACCAACATGATGAGGTGAAACTGAATTAAACATGAAGATATGTCCATATGGCCAAAATACGGTGCTGAGATACCTTCGTTATCTGGTACATTATAGGAAGCAATAAACATGTACATGTCAATTTGGTTCAAACATTCCAACAGAAAAATAACCTCTGTAGGCTGCCCTTAGTCGGAACATGGGTATAGAAACGAAGTGTAATTCCTGCACATGAAGCGATGTAAGTGGCAGGTGTTAGGGAAGGTAACATTGACTGTACCAAACCTGAAGAAGAAACAGTATTTTGTTGAACAGAATAATTCAGTGGCTTTTTAAAACGTAGATAATTCCATTTGAGTTGCAAAATAGTTTCGATAATGGACGAACGGTTACTATTGACACTTGTTTTACAAAGATATACATAGAAATAATGTCATTTACATCTTGAACTAAAATTAAATGAAGTTCTACTTACCGTATGTAGCTGAGAAACGCCTAGTTGACGTGGTTGCTGAGGCTGGCTGGTTGGCTGGCAACAGAGTAGGGCGACTCGGGCTGGTTGGCTGGCAACAGTAGGGCGACTCGGGCTGGTTGGCTGGCAACAGTAGGGCGACTCGGGCTGGTTGGCTGGCAACAGTAGGGCGACTCGGGCTGGTTGGCTGGCAACAGAGTAGGGCGACTCGGGCTGGTTGGCTGGCAACAGAGTAGGGCGACTCGGGCTGGTTGGCTGGCAACAGTAGGGCGACTCGGGCTGGTTGGCTGGCAACAGTAGGGCGACTCGGGCTGGTTGGCTGGCAACAGTAGGGCGACTCGGGCTGGTTGGCTGGCAACAGAGTAGGGCGACTCGGGCTGGTTGGCTGGCAACAGAGTAGGGCGACTCGGGCTGGTTGGCTGGCAACAGAGTAGGGCGACTCGGGCTGGTTGGCTGGCAACAGTAGGGCGACTCGGGCTGGTTGGCTGGCAACAGTAGGGCGACTCGGGCTGGTTGGCTGGCAACAGTAGGGCGACTCGGGCTGGTTGGCTGGCAACAGTAGGGCGACTCGAGCTGGTTGGCTGGCAACAGTAGGGCGACTCGGGCTGGTTGGCTGGCAACAGTAGGGCGACTCGGGCTGGTTGGCTGGCAACAGAGTAGGGCGACTCGGGCTGGTTGGCTGGCAACAGTGTAGGGCGTCTGATGCTGGCTGCCAACAGTGTAGGGCGTCTGATGCTGGCTGGCAACAGTAGGGCGTCTAAGGCTCTCTAGGGTAACAGTAGGGTAACCGAGGCTGGTTGGGAGGCTGGCAGCAGAGTAGGGCTAATGAGGATATCTGACAACAGTAGAACGACTGAGGATGTCTGGCAACAGAACGGCGACTGAAGATTATTCCTTAAGCTGAACAGGACTGGGGACAGGACTGGGGATGACTGTCAACTGTCTAACGCCTGTCTGATGAAATCATCTTGATACTTTGTGACGACACCTGGAGTGAGCAAAAAAGTGTTTCGTTAACATTCATAAAATAACAGCTGTTACAGTTACTTATTAATACTAATATTAGAAAAAATAGCATCTGTCTAGTTAATACTTCGACAATTCTACGTGAAACGACTGCAGATTAACACGTGTCCTGCTAACACGCTTTTCAAAGCATCCAATTGTAAGAATAAACACACATGCATTGTGTACCATTTCATATGCTTTACACCGCACTTAAAGCATGATGTATTGGGAGTGCAACTTACACCTTCAGGTCGACTATGTTACTTGTGGCTTACAACGTTAGCAACGACCCACAATAAATGGGTACTGGGTTTTAATCAAATTCGGTATATTATTTGTTTAGAAAAAAAGAAAAGACTATATGAAACTCACGGAAGTCATCTGTGCTTCGTCCAGAAGACATAGCAACTCCTCGTATGACTGTGTTGGTTGCCCTCGTTGCTGTTGGCGCTGTTGTCGTTGCCTTTTCCGCCTGACCTGGCGTTGGTTTCTACGTTCTGTTCTTTGCCTGGCCTCGTCCGGTGTATGGTTCTGAGTGAGAAAAGTCATTGAAAATATAAATGAACAACATTTCATGACTGCGTATAATTATATGTTGTATTAATAGCTGCTAATGACATAAGATTACTTAATAGTTGTGATAAGGAATAGTGTGTGGCAAGTTATGCAATAAAAAAACTATTTTCAGTTTCAAGTGAAACCTGTCAGATCCGTTTTCCCCTTAAATATTTATAAGAAGTTATCTCGACCTTTAAATTATTATATTGTATTCAACTTTCTCTGGCAATGACAATTTTTTTTATCTATTTTAAAATCTAAATGCAACTTTCTTATCTTATTTATTATTATTACGTTATTATATATATTCATATATATAAATGTTCTTGTGTGAGTAGGTGAATGTTGTTTAACGCCGCAGACAGCAATATTCCAGCTCTATCACGGCTGCCTGTCATCCGGACCAATGACAAACGGGCAGCATGAGGTAGCAGATTACTCACAACAGGAACGATTTTAGAAAAAAGTATTATGATATGTCAAGAAGCCTTAAAACATTGACTTGAGCTAAACGCAAACAATTCAGGTTTATGGCGAGATTTAGTTTCAACATGAGTGAATCTTTAATGGCTGCCAGTTATGTTTAAGTAGTTGAATAGCATACTTACTGATGGCACCGTCTCGGTCGCCAATGTAACCGTGGTTCATGCTGTTGCCGATGTTGATCCAGATGCGGTTGTGGGTGTGGGTGTGGGTGTGGGTGTGGGTGTGGGTGTGGGTGTGGGTGTGGGTGTGGATGCGGATGCCGCTGCGGAAGACGTTGCTGAGGTGGTCGGCGATGCCGAGGCGGATGACGATGCCATCGTCGATGTCATCAGCGACAACCTAAACAAAGGAAATGCGTGTTATATTGCGTTATATATGTATGCACTAGGGATCAGATTGACGGCAATCACAGCTGTTATGAACCCATGGGACATGTTTTATTGTCATGGAGATTGATCTTTACCATATTATAAGAACAGCATATCCCCTTTCCCACACATATCAACACCTATAGCCCCAGAAGACAACACAACGCCTAGGTAGTAATGAACTGAAGATTAATCTTTACCATATTATAAAACAGCACATCCCCTTTCCCACACACATCAATACCTATAGCCCCAGAAGACAACACAACGCCTAGGTAGTAATGAACTGAATATAAAACAAATGACTGAAATAAACGTGCATGCGACGTCACCCCTTCTAACGTCTCACTTTCGACTTTCTCCAACGATCATCTCCTGACTAAATATACTACTCAAAAGAAGTTAAGGATCACCTGATTCTTTCATATTACTATAGTTAATCTCTCATGTCATGACAGATTTACTTTACCATTATGAAAGAATCGGGTGATCCTTAACTTCTTTTGAGTAGTATATAAGAAGTGAAAGAACACATTAGTCATGGCATGACAGATTATCTGTGGACATATGAGTCGGATGTTCTTTTACTTCTTTTGAGTAGTATTATATTGGAATTTTTTATGCATATACAAATCAGTCGTTTTAAATATAGATCTATTCGATCTTGTTATCTCATCAATGTCCTGTGTTGAAGTTCCGAGGACGGATACATTTGAACATCTGACAGTTACAGTAATAGTCTTGCAGTTTAAGACGCCGTTACATCCTGGTGCAGGCAGGATACGCCTCCACGGCCTGTGACACTTTGGGCCCACCTACAACATCGTGGTGCCACGCAATCACAAACATAAAGGACTGATGAAGGCGGCGTTAAACCTAAACATATTCATTGTGGTTGACTTACAATTCCTTTCAGACGCCGGTTTTCTTCTTTTAGTTCCCTGATATCCTCTTGTAATTTCCGGCTTTCCTCTCGGAGTTTCAACAATT